ATCTTTGTGAACGACCGTTCGGCCGTGGGCGATCTCCACACCGACGGCGTTCACCAGCTTATAGCCGCTGTTTTGTTGTTATTTGTTTCATTGTAAATAAACAGAGTTTATCACCGTTACCAACGTGACTGGTGTCTGTTTGCACTCAACGAGCAGCATGCCACGTGAGTACGAACCCGCTTCGCGGTAGAGTGTCTCGCCGCGAACGTGGTACTCTCAAAGGCAGTGACCCAAAGGAGAACCACAGCACAGTCCTCTCGAAGTCACTTTAGTAACGCAATATTCAACTCAGTGACTCACAAACCAGGCCCATTTCAAGTACTCATCAAAATTTTAAGGCATTCTCAAATAAAGGTATTTACAAACTATTTACGAAAGTAGACATCTGAAGTCTCTACACGAGACCCCTTGAGTAAGGCCACTACTACCAAAGGCCACCTTCTTCACCTTTTCTCTTACGTATACATAAACCTCAGTTCATGTAAATAGGCTTGCATGGCCTTTTTTGTCTAAGTAACTTACAGCCTGAGCAACGCTTCAATCGATGGTGCCTCGTTTGCTGCTCTTCGTGGTTGGTTTCAAGAGATGTGCGGGGACATTCGGGAACAGACATGGCGCAGCATCTTTTTTGAATGACCATTGACCCTGGCCATCAAGACAGCCTGCTTATTAATGACGTGCTAGTAATGACGATTAATGTCGTCGAGCTGAATATCGAAATCGCACAGAAAACTTTTTATGTGAGCGTGAACATTTTCCCAGGGATCGCTTTCTGCCGTATACCTTCAGGCGCACAGCATCCTTCGGAGCGGTACAGAAGTGGCGCTTCTCGTCACTTTTTGACGTCTGGGAGACGCGCTCGCTGCGACAGCCGGGAGCGCAGCAGGTCGGCATGCTTTCACATTGATTGGGGAACGGCTCAAAGTTCCCGGCACCAGAAAAGAGCGCTTACGAGCCTACGATGAGCCACCGATGAGACGAGCGAAAACACGAGGAACATCGAAGACAACGAGATGCTGCCGAAAGTGCGGCCGAGAGTCGATCCAGCGCCACATCTCGCGTGCTCTACTAAATGGCGCCACACCGGGAAGTGAGTTTCCAAACTGACCCCCTCTAGTAGTGTTGGGCTTTACTTTCGACGATTGTCCAAGCACTCCAATGTCTGTTCCAAATCTCACCCAGATAGACCCGAGTTACTCCGGCAGGTCGTGACACGTAACAACACAGATAGAGCAACGCTGGACGCGGGTTGGTTTTTGAACGCCAAGGTACAAAGCCCTTATCCTGGTGTAAGATGGAGTAAAGTATGTAACACAGCCCCTATGACGTCTTTAATGAACTTCATTTTGCTTTGATCGACAAAAATCAGAGCGATGTCAGACTGATAATATTGACGGTGTTAGTTTAAGAACATGATGACTGCAAGATTTCACGGTGCCTTTTCCGCGCACCATCAAACTTGTCGCTCGCAACATGTGAAAAGTGGCCTGGACCACAAGTCGTGACGTCACGGCGTGGCAAATCCTGGTCGTGACGTCACGGACAGAAGCCACAAGAGGACGCCACCGAAACATCTCGGCGCGAATAGCAGGATCATAACGGCAGTCAGGTCTTTCAGGTCCTTCAGCACTAACTTCTGCCTTCGATAGCATGTCGGCATCACGTGAGCGTTTCTTGTGCACGTGCACACAACCATAGCCTCCTCTATACTGACAAAGCTTGGCAGATTGCCACGAGACGCGACCGCCGAAATCGAAGTGGTAGAGCGGCAGACAACGGATGAGAGGAGAGCCAGGTGACAGGTGCCCCGCTGCGGCGAGACGCCAAAACACACTTCTCCCGAGCGATGGAATGTCTGCTCGTGCTCCTCGCATTCCTTGCACTACCGCTTCTTTTCTCGCCGAGTTTCATAACCATGTTTCGGGTCCTCGCCGCTGCAAAAGCTGTGCGCTGACGACCAGGTTTCCCGAGAAATGCTTTGTGCTACCAGATCTTCGCGCTCCAAAATTTGCGACCGGGCTCTCTATGGCTCCGTCATCGAACTGCCAGGCTTTGTGAGTATAGAGGAGGCTATGGCACAACGGAAAAGCAACGTTCGCAATTAAAAACAAATACCTCCGACTTGCATAACAATACCAACATTTATCAGACGTTTCGTCTCCTATACGGGAGACATCATCAGTGCGGCCTGGGAACACCCGACTAGCTACCAGAAATCCAACGCTTCTTCTTCCTTCTCTTCATCCGTAGCGCTGGTTCTGCCGACTTCTTCGTCGATGGCATACGGGAGACATTATCATCGGCTGCACTCGCTTCAACTTCTTTTTACGTCCGTCCTGGATGGGAAGTTAAATGAAAGGTTATTTCAGGATGTCGGTGTACACGTCGGGGAGGGGGCCGTGGTTAGAATTGCAGGCAGATGGGTCACTGCGAATACACCATGATTCCATAGGAGACGAAACGTCTGATAAATGTTGGTATTATTATGCAAGTCGGAAGTATTTGTTTTTAATCATGAATCCCGGCTTTTGGAACATTTTTGCAACGTTCACAAGCCGGAGGCTGGGCATCTGAAAAACACGGTGTGCGTTTGTTGAAGCAATAACTTTACGGGCGACACTTTGCAGACATTTCGAGCTCGTGTGCTGTCGTCGCCGCCACAAAAAGAGCCATCTCTCCGCTCTTGGCGCAAGGCCAGGGAAGTCCGGTTTTCCCGTCGGCCGCGCAGCGCGGAGAAAGAATAGAGGGAAGCCCCGGCGTCCCCGCCAGTAACGACGCGACGAAAGGAGAGTCTTCCGTGTCGTCTGCTTCAAACACTTGTTTCCAAATATTACTCACGTTGTGCGAAATCTCACTTTCGCAGTATCCAGTTGTTACGCGTAACGTTGGACGGTTTTAAATACTTCCACCGCGCTTGCCCACTTACGTCACGGATCACCGAGCACTTGTGGCGGCCGTCAGTGGCATCCACGAAGCCAACCATGACGGGTATGAAAAGTAACCACGTCGCACCTCCGTCCTTAGGTACGTGACGGCACCATTCCGCCTGCATTGTGCGACCGTACTACAGCCATCGCTTTCGTTTCTTCGCACATTATTGGGCTAAAAATACTCATCTGGGGAACATGTGCGCTCTTGAACCGGTGCTTGTTTGCTCCTTTTTTGCATTAGCTTTCTTTTAAGTAACCGTTCGAACTTTTTATTTGTTTACTCTTTAGCTTTAGTTACACATCTGGGATATATATATATATATATATATATATATATATATATATATATATATATATATATATTTTTTTTTTTTTTTTAACGGTCGGAAGCGGCGTGAGACTGAAGACATTTTGGTTGAGCTGAGAAACACGCATTGTAGTCCACCGGTAAAGAAACTATATACAGAATCGGTTGAAACGAGGCACCGGCTTTCGAAACAAGTCTTAATTCATTATCTGGAGGAAACATTCTCTTTGAGATACGTTAATATAGCGATCACTATAGTCTTCAACTGCTGCGAGCACGAGGATAATTCCTATGTGGCTCATGAAAACAGCGGATAAACGAAAACACCTAAGAAAAAAAAAAACTAAAGAGAGCTAGGCACGAACTATCTTATATATTTTGCATAAAAACGCCGCTGATGCGTTGTCAGATAATAACTTTTTTTCTAAAGATCGCACTATGCGCCGCACCGAAACACCACAAGCTCTTTGAAGCCCAAAACGAAGTACATAGAAAATATTTGCCAACAAAGCTCTTTGTTGACACAAGTTTCCTCAGCAGCAGGGATGCAATCCGAGCGTCGCTTACTTTGTCCCGTTTACTTCCACCCGCTGGGACGACGAGATAGGACGACCGGACAGCTAATCCTGTCTCTGAAACCACGCCGTACTCTACACAACACAAAAGGCGAGAAAAACAAACGAATCAAAATTTCCGAGCATGCGCCGAAGCGACGCTGCGGAATTGAACGGCTCCGAAGTCGCATAGCCACCACCATTGTCCCCAAAGCAGTCGCACTGTCTCGTCCGAACGAACGAAGCCCTTTCTAAGGAAGACGTACGTACGCGAGTCCCGTGAGCCGCCGCCAGCACCGGGTGTCTATCTTACGCCGTTTCAGAGTTCGCCCGCGCTTTCGCCATTTTGGGGGGAAGTTTGAAAAATCGGCTTTCTTGCCAGCGCCGTCGGCTCCAATTTGGATTTAGAGTCCCCGCGGAGATTAAGTTGACTTGGCGGCGCGGCACAGCCCGACTCCAATCTCGTACTCCTGCTGCCAGCTCCGCCTCATTGTTTCTAAGCGAAAGAAGAGAGCCGCGACCGTCTCAAGATTGCGTCAGGCAGGCCCGGTCAACATTTTCTACACTTTGCTTTTCATTACGTTTTTTTGTTTTTTTGTTTCTTGTCTTGAAGCGCAGCATCGGTCAGAACAAAATATAAATCAAACTATTATAATAACCCTTCTTTTTTTTTTTCTTTTTTACTTTACCTTGAACGCGAACAGCTCGTTACTCAAAAGATTCGCTTTGTTTTAATGTCGTTCCGAAGCAGCTCGTCGAGGGCTACACTTCTGGCTTGAAAACAAAAGAATACGCCTTCCGAAGTGATACGATAGGTACTGAAGAATGCAGTCGACCAGAAAAAACTCGAAAAAGCAGCCGTCTCCAGCGGTGAGGAAACACGACTACGAATCCAAGTTTGCCGAGCTGCACGAGCGAGTCGTTGCGTCGGGGATCACGGCCCAGCAGCTTTCTCTGCTCACCTCCGTGAAGAGACTTCGGGGTCTGCGTAGCAAGAATGCTAGCCTTGCGTCAGGAAGGCATTTGTGCGATCTGCTTCAAAAGTTCGCCGTGCCATCCTCCGTGCGTCGGTACTCGAAGCTTCTCTGCGCGATGGTCGTCCTCGTCGGTTTGTTCCGGTTGTGGTACATTGGCCTGCATCGCCAAGACGGCTGGGTAACCTTGTTAGTCGGAAATTCCAAGCCCGAGCTGGAGCCCTGCGTCGTCGCCATGCCGGCCCGAGTTCAGAGTGCGCTTATGCCTCCCGTCGACTGCGCCATGTGCCGTGGTTTGAAAAGCATCGAACGGAAGACCTCTCTAAGTCAATGGGATTTCGAGCAGAAGTAAGACGGACGGCGGCGCTTTTATTTGAACCAGAGTTTTATTTGAGGACGCGTTGCGTGATAGAAATGTTGACCGCTTTTGTTTTCTTGCCTTTTACTGAGAGTATTTTTTTTTCTTCAATCCGTTCCTTACCCCGCTTTTTCGATACAGGCTAAAATATTTGTTTTATTTTATAGCTGGACCAAGAAAGCTTTCAAAATATTTCAAAGCGGCTTTGGAGACATCTGACAGTATTTTCTTTTTAAACTTGGATGCCGTTTTCAAAACATTTGAAAGCAGTTTTTTTTTTCTTTTCAACAAATATATATTTAAAAAAAAGCATTTGAGAAAGTTTGAAGGAACACCCCTCTAAATAACTTAATTTGCTCTTTGATACTTCAGTGAAATGTTGGCGTAACTGAAACAAAAGCGGCATTCATTGGTTTCCGGAAGTTACCGAAAGATTACGGGTTCATATCTGGTTCCAGTCACGCCTACACGGGAGTTCCCGTGGTTGTCACCGATGGAGCCTCGAACTGGACCGCGCTGCGAAGTTTCTCTCTGGAATTCTTCAAGAATGTCTACGCAAGCGCGTCGGCTAAAACGTCCAAGAGCTACTGTCAGTTCTTCCCTTACAAAACAGAATTCAGAAGCCTTTTCGAGGTATTCAACATGTCTGCCCAGAGATCACGGCAGCCCTGGTATATTGGATGGTGAGTTCAAAGGCACTGCTCTCGATACTCTTTTCGTTTGAAAATTGTGACGCTTTCGTCTTCTTGTTCGTTGCTTTCAGTACATTGTGAGAGAAAAAAATGTCTAAAAGCAAGCATGCAGATTCAATTCTCTTTTTTGTTTGCGGCCTTATCTAGCCTATGCTGGGAGGGTATTATATTCCGTAAGGCAGTTCAAAATGTACCGGTTTCAGACTGTGCCCGTCTTGATCTAGAAATAACCTACATGTGAGCAAAACAGAATGAGGAAATTAGCGCAAATACAAGGAAGGAAGGAAGAACGTTAGGACAGGAAAGAGCGCTTCTTCCTTCCTTCCTTGTATTTGCGCTAATTTCATCATTATGTTTAGCCAACTAGCCCACCAGATGATTTTAGAGCAAAACACACTTGAAAGGAATGTAGGAAAATATTCCGCACGATGAAAAACTGCAGTGGTCATGAGTAAGATGTTCTACTGCGTAGAACCCAAATCTTGGTTTTTATATTTTCCCATTTTTATTTATTTATTTGCTTAGAGCGATGAGAGCTTACGCGGCTGTGGTTCTTTTTCTGCGCCTCTCTTAACTTCACATGTGACTTGCGTGCCACTCTGATAAGAGGCCTGGAAGGTCGCACAACCTCCAAATTACACTACTACAATATATAAAAATCGGGGGGGGGGGGGGGGGGGGGGGGGGGGGAGCAGAATGCAAAATGGTCTGTACGTTTAAAGCGAATATTTTGTTCTCGTGATCTACCTCTCTGTAAAGCATGCATGCCAAGGACGGAACAACCGTGTCTGGGAAAAAAATTTAAACTTTATTTTTAGATCGCATAAATAAACTACGCATCGCAGAAACTTCAATCTTCGTGAGAATGTGACGCTGCGGTGGTGATAAAACGAACAACTTTGAGAACATGGCGTTAAACGAATCAAAAGATAAAACTGAAAAAAAAAAATTTCTCAATAAGCCGACGTCCAGATAAGCCTAATATTCGCCAAACCAAGAAATTATATTTTGGGCGCCGTAATATTTATGTATATACAAAAAAAAAAAATTAGTCAACAAACTACATATTTTTTTCTTGCTCATGAGTTTGCTCCTTCAAATAAATGCCATAGGCGCCCACAGTGCCATTTGTTGGTTTGGAAAATATTAGGCTTACTCGGACGTCGGCTCATGAATTAATATTGATTTTCGGTTTTATCTCTAGCTTGATCTAGGTAACGTCACGTTCTCGAACTTTACCATTCCTTCACCTACTGCTAGCGTCAAATTCACATTCACACGGAGTTTCAGCTTTCTGTGGTGCATAGTTTATTTAATCGGGCCGAAAATCCGGGGTTTATGTTCTCTCAGGAACCCGGTACACTACGCTTCATGGTGCCGAGGGCGAGCGCGATGCCTAGGCACATTTGCGCAACTAACGTTTCAACAGAGGATTCTCATTCACTGTGTTTGTGCTGTATTAACCTCGGTGGAGATTCGAATTTTCGTGATACCTCCACTAACCGCGTAGGAGGAACGAAGTTCAGAGATTTGACTGGAAGACATACCCTTGTGACAGGAGCAACTGTGACGCGGGTGTGGCAGACGTCTTGCGCCGTCACTACGCCTCGCCGTACTTTCTGCCTGCGCATTCCGAAGGTTCCACGCTGGACTGGATCTTCATGGGCAGTCCGGGATACGGCGCCCACCTTCACGTGCGTCAAATCCGCTTTATTTTCCCGTTTATGACAATGACGTAATTCGAATCATGAAAGTGCATTACTTCATTGAACCAGTCATTGGCTGTACACGTTTTTCGCGTGATGTATTTCTGCGGTTTTCAGTAGTACGCTAGGAAGAACGACTATGTTGCCCTTGTTTTGCTTGGCATGAGCTAACCGAAGGTTTTAATAGACTCTTTCCGAAATTTGGCCAGAAAGCTCCATCGGACGCCATTTTCCCATTGAAATTTTCAGAAAATCACTTGTACCTTTTTTAATAAGATATCGCTTCGGGCTGAAACTTGGTCATCTGGGTGGGACCTCTATTGCTACCTTTGGGCAGAGAATGAGCGTCCGGCGTTGCGTAGTTTATTTTTGCGAGAAAGAAAAAAACTGTAAAAGTTTTTTTTCGGGGACACCCTGTACATTCGAGACGCTCGTACGATGCGAAGCAGGGATTGAATACAAGATCTGCGTAAGCGCTCATTCCTAACTCATGTCTGGCCAATCTTGTTGACGGAACATAATAAGCTCTTAAGCCCCTTGATGTATAAACGTTTATCACGGCGTCAATGTGGGTTTGTGCTTCGTTCTTACCGCTTGTATATGTGACACCATCGAAACTGAGAGATCCAGAAAAAATGGTAAGGTAAAGAACACATTCTCTACTGCTGTTGACTAGAGCAAGTGATAGTGTCCGGCAAAATACTACACACTGCAGGTCGAGTACCGCCATTAGTAAGGCAAAGTGTAAACTGCTAATGGAGCCACCGGATGGCACTGAATTTTGATAATTGTCTGTTCAGCTCAATATGAACACTGTAAGCGAAGTATAATGCAGATAAATTTCTATAATAAAACAATCCAGATACTTGCGGTGTTTTCAGTTTAATGTCGCCGACAGAGTTCACTCTACGGTAACAGGCTAAGAACTGAGGAGAATCTCAGCCTCCAGCACGCACTTGTTGCCGTCCACCGGGCTTTAACTGCGCGTGCGATCAAGTGTTATCTATGGCAAAAAGCTCGCGCTGAAGTCCTACTGCATCCATAACCAGTAACCGACTTCTTGATCCAGAAACGCGGTTGAACATGATGGGTTTAATTTTATAGTGCTTCTCTCCTACATTGTACACAATATATGCTACCGTGAGGGCAACGCCAGCTTAATTTATTCACTGTTTCATTTACCTAGCAATAAGCCGAATAGTTTTCAACCTGTACACATACGAAAATAAAAAAAAAATGTTTATTGTGGGGATGCTGATGCTTAGACACTTTTGTGCTAATGTTTTTGTCGCTTTCGAGTATTTTTTTAACATATGCTCTAAACATGACCGCGCACCTACTTTCCCGCAGATCATCCTACAGGAACACAATACGGTGTTCTGCATTGGCACCTAGTAGTGTCCGCTATAGTCAGTGGCAGGTTAAGCATTCGGTGACAGATCAAAGGGAATCCAATCACCCTTCCAGCTAATCTCTTCCACTTGTTTTCATGACGCAACGGGTTTACGAATGAACCTTTTGCAACATGGCAGCGTGCTCCTAGCAACAAGAATATTTGCAACGGAGTCTGCGCTATGAGTTTTCTGCTTTTTATCGCAGTCTTTACCTACCAGGGTGTGCGGCTCGACGTCACGAGGGAATTCGTGTGCGCTCACGGCAGCTTCTATGCAGGGACGTGTGAGTCGAGTGGTGACATAGTTGTAACTGCCATCAAAGTGTTCAGTGTGCGCATGTACACTCAAGTGGTGGGAGCTTAGTGGGGACGGGTTTCCCCTGACGCCGTCCTGTTCCCTTCATTAATTTTCTGCTGGCCCCTATCCTAAGTTATGCAGCTGACCAATCATGGTATCAGCTCTTTTTTGCAATGGTTTCTCTGAGTTGACGTGCAAATGTTGTGGTCATCACCATTCAAGTCATACACTGCGTAGAATCTGCCAAAGTGAAACCGCCAGCGCCAACCAACCTCATTGCGCTCCGTCTGCTTCCTGCGAGTAAATAAATTAAGGTAGCTGACTGAAATGACAAACTTTAAGTAAAATTTATTCATGAGCGAACCGGGGTTCACTTGCCTTTGCTCGTCGTCACGATGAGTTGCATATGGCAAAATCAGGTGAGTAATAATTGCCTCATCCTGCCCCACATGAAGGCGTCACGGTACAAAGTCACCGTTCAGTCATGCCATCACTCTTGTCTCGATGGAATAAAAATATCAAGTGGCACACCTTTTTTCTTCGAATTAAAGCCTTTTGATTGACGCCGCTCCTTTCCCGCATAAAAAAAAAATGTCGCGGAGTAGACGACAGACTATTTCCTCGACCGCGGAGGTACTTGAAGCGGGCACATGACGCACGTGGGCGAGGATTATGCTTTTATGTTTGTCTGCCTGCCTCACGTCGACAATTCTCGCAGCAATTGAGAGGCTCGTAATAAAGATTTGCGAGGATAGTCATTCTCGAGAATTGCGGACCTAGCAAATACTCGTAATTCTCGAACGGTTTTGGAGGGGGGGGGGGGGGGGGGGGGGGGTGACATTTTAAATGGGCGTCGTAATTATTATTAAACTTTTGACCAGCAAACGAAAAATTATTGATTTTTGCTTGTCAGTATTACGTTTCGAGCTGCTTCACAACTCTTCTTACTGCAGATCGACCATGTGGGAAAGCCATCCTGGCAGGCTCAGATTAGGGGCCGCAAGCAGTGGATCCTCGAGCCTGTACCTGAATGTTACTCGGACTGCCAGAGCCTCGAGATCGTCGTCAACCCAGGAGAAATTTGTGAGGGTCTTTTGTTTATCTCGCCTGTATTTTCAAGATGACAAAGCAACAGATGCCGACAGAGCCCGAGAAGAAACCCAGACCATTACTTACCTGGGCTTCCTCGAAATATGCGGTTCAACAAGCAAACGTTCCATTTACACAGCTTGCGAGCATGACAAAAACAGCCGTACCTTAGGCAAGCTTGAAGGCCCCTACGCACAGTTGCGTTTGGGAGCGTTTGAGTACGTTTAACTGCGTTGCGACTGCGAGACACCAGGACATCCCTGCTTATCACGTCACGTGCCAAGATGATTCCTTCAATTGGATTCCACGCTTCATTCGAAGCACAGATGTGCCGGCGACTCGCTTTCGTTGTTTGACGCAACGCAGTCAAAATCACTCCGACGCTCGTGAACGCAACTGTGCGTAGGGGCCTTAAAATCTGGTTCAGATAGCACCGTTTTCTTATGTTACGCAGCTTACGTAAACGCTTACGTCAATATATGAATGCAAATCACCGGCATATTTGTGCTTCATATTCCACGTGCCAAGCTATTGCTTTAACTGGTTGCAACGCTTCGTACTGGGCACGGTTGCGCATTCTCGACGCAAGCGTACGCAAGCTTCTTAACGTAGGAAAACTGTGCTTAAAGGAACGATGCAACAATGTTTGTACTTTGAGTGAATTCCGCGAGTATTTTTTTATTTTTTTTTATTTTAGATTCGTAATCTCCGAAACACGCGTTGTTGTCTGTTTGTGGTTGTTGTTTTCGCGCATGGCAGTCACGGAGAAAACATTCCCGAAAAAGCGACCAGCATTTATCCCTCAAATAGCAGTCGAACACGCGGCCACGTGTTATGGAGCCGATTAAATGCCGCTAATGTTTAACATAGCCCCGTGCTGGGGTTGGCTAAAGTAAGTGAATCCTAAGAAACTTGCGCCAAGCTCCCCGTATGGTCACCATTTTGGTTCATGTTATGGACAGTTCCCCGTTCGCCTCTCCATTCTTGGTGAGGCGATCAAAATTTGGGGTGACAGGTTGCTTTATGAAGACATTTTCGTTATCCACACTCCGGCGAAACAAGTACACATCTTCGCACTGCTACCACATGTGGCGTCGGTGCTTGGCAACATTGAAAAATAATTTCCTAGTCTTGAAATGCGTAGGAAGAACAATATTATTGTAAGGTAAGTCGACTGCGTACACAGTTTCAAAGACGCGTATATTGGCGAGGAACACTTTCAGTACGGTGAAGTTACATAGCGATCTTGGCGCCACTGGTTCAAAATGAAATTTTTGAAGCTTCGAAGTTTTGAAAGGGCCGAAATGGCGATTGCCATGACAACAGAAACCGATCAGCCAATCGCCTTGCGAGGTTTTTGTAGTCTGTGTGTTACTATAGGTTAATGTTCAGCTAGCGGCAGGGAAGGCAATGACGTTACTTTCCCCAGGATACCGTGACTTTAGGGTTGGCAAAGCACAGGGTGCGGGCTGAGATACGTGCATTGTTAAAATTCGGCTATTCCCGTCGTCGCAGCGATTAGTCACGAGCCACTACCAGAGTGGCGTGTCGAAGTACTAATTGTCGCGAGCCCCAATCAAATGCCCACTTAGTGCTCGTGTCCACTATATATGAGCCGCATTCAAATATCGTCACTACGGAGATCGCAAAGCGTGGCGACAAAAATCCCGGGGATCGCATGGTCGACAACGCCAACAATGCGATCCTCACAACGCCGTCAACTCCGTCCTCAAGTTTTGCGAAGGAGGGACTAAAAGGAAACGTCCGCTTTTATCCTTGACATTATGGTACGACAAAGCAGCTTCTTTGTCAGTGGCATTGCGTGCGAGTATACTTGGATCCCAGCCGGTCCCAGCACTAGCAGTAACCTTGTGTTCAGTTAGAAACATTCCTACCCAATATCGTTGCACGGCACAAAGTATTCAAGAAGCATACTTGAGGACACCTTTTCTGGTAATGAAGCCAGAGCTATGTGTACCCGTGCCGTCGCGCACCTTGAGCGCCGACCAAAGCTCTACACGTGGAGTCTTCATTTTTTTTTTCTGAAATACTAGACATAGTTGTCCCCCAGTACAGGCTAAAACACCACAGAAACACGGGTTTATGCCTTGCGAACGCCTGTTCATAAACACAGTAGCTGCAAAGACACAAGCACGTGAAGGTTCACTCAATCCTGTGCTTTTGCTGCAATATCTTCACGATCTTTGCCGGCGCATGTCCTGAAGCGCTCTATTTTAGAACATCCTATTCGCTTCGAGATTCGATCGGCACGGCTCATGTCGGGAAAAACAGAACTACGATTTGATTTGCATTTGGAGCAAAACAAATGCTACGGACGCGAGGCCCAGGCCACGGGAGGCGCCAATGCAGCGCTCGCGCACTGGAATCCACTGCTAAGAGCTCGTGCCCTGTACACCCTTGCCCGTCCTCTGTGCCGTTAGTGTGGATGCTTTGTCCTCACTCGCATTATGGACAGAGGGAATCACCACGTGCCTCATAGAGAACCATGGATAAACAAGAGCACACTTTCTCTAAATTCAGTTTGAGTCCCGAGGCGAATAGGGTGTATTCACTGGACGCCATATTTGAGGGCGATGTTTAGAGCGCATGCTGAGAACGAGCTCACATTAATAGGCTGCTAAGACCGGCAATCTTGATGGTGCAGAATGCACGTTGCGAAAGAACTGCGGAAGCTCGCCGTCAGCACGCGCTCAGCAGCCGCGCACACAGATATGGCCACCAGTGAATACTCCCTACATTGTAAGAAATGCATGCGCTTCGATTTACCCGCAAAACACTCAAACAGCCAATCTATGTGATCTACGAAATCAGCTCAGCGAATGATGAGGCGGAACATTCGTATAGACCTCAGAATTAAGTCTGCGCTGAGGCATTACGCAATGCTGGTATGACGCTTTGCATTGCTACGTGCATTGCTACGTGCAGAGGCACGGCGGCCGCAACACGTCCTACTTGCAATCGTCTATAGACCATATACGAAAAGAAAAGCGCCACCTAGTGTAATCATGATCTATTATCGAATTTCCGCCATATTGGAGGGTTCCTGACGGATAGTTTTGCCCAACGTTTTTAGATTAAAGAACCGGTGCAACGATACTCAATTGGAATGTTTTTCACTCTACACGAGCTTACTGGGACACCTCGGACTCAAGGATACCCACACGCAACGCCACTGGCCAAGAAACTCCTTTGTTGCGGTGTAATTTCAAGGACAAAAGCGATCATTTTCATTCAATCTCTCCCTTGCAAAATTTGATGACGTAACGTGGGGATCGCAGTACACCCAAGTGACGATATTTGAATGCGGTTCATAGATTGGACCCGAGCATTGCGTGGGCACTCGACTTGGGCTCGTGATAATTGCTAGCTCGAGAAGCATTCGGGTAGTGACCCGTGTCCAATCGCTGTAACGACGACAACAGCCGAGCCATAACAATGTCTGGAACTCAGCGCGTGTCCTGCGCTTTGCCAACCCTGCAGCGCGTGGCTATGATCAACACTGGCAGCATATAATCGGCTCCAGATCACGTGGCCGCTTGTTCTGGCTGTGAGTTGAGGGGGTGAACGCTGCTCGTTTTTCTTAAATTTTTTTCTGGGACTTCTATTGGCGTGGGGTGAAGAACGAACGCGTGTTTCATAGGTCATTAACGTTAGGGATCCGTTTTAAGCGGTATTTGCGCAAAGTACAAAAATTGTTGCATCGCTCCTTTAAGCTCAGTTGGTGAAAGAGCTCGGGCGCTTTATGGCACCGGAGCGCGCTCCGCAGTATCCGTGGAAGCGGTGGCGCTACGGTTCCGATAGGATCGGTTCCTTGCGCGTCGCCCGCTATCCTCTTGCTCTGAAAGGCGTCAACACGCAGCCAACCAAACCGCCGAAGGACTTGTAAAGCAAATGATGCCACTGAACGAAGTGTATTTAAAGAGAACGTGAGCACCAAATAAAAAAGTAAAATGCCAGTATATTATAAGATGTTTTTCTCTCCACTAAGTGCACCTACCCATGGTTTTAGCTCTTTCCTCTGGAGCACGCCTGAAAACATCGGTCATATAACGAAATTTTCTGCTCGCGCGCCCGGTTAGTAAAGAAGGTCGCTGATAAGGAACAATAGGAACTTTTAGTAAGCCGTTACCGTGTTCCGCGTACCGCACTATCGGAGCCTTTGTAGCATGCTTTTAAGCGCCTTACCGGGTGCTACCGTGACCGCGGGGCACGCGCTTAAATCGCAACCAGAGCCGGTTATACTGAGAGAGTTTGGCCAATGGGCGGAGCTTGTTGCTCGCTAGAACCAGCAGATTTCGCGATATCACAAAATGGCGTTACTTCTTTGTCTTCCTTATTCCTGAGAAATTGTATACAGTTCCTATGAGTCAGAGCCCCGAAATGGCGGAGAGAAGTAGTCATTCCCCGGTTGTCAGACTACGCTGCTGTGGTTGCTAGGTTGTCTAAATCTCCTTAAGAAGGCCAAACTCTCCGAGTATAAAAGGCGCTGATCGCAACGTGACGCTAGCGCCGCCTTTCGGAAGCGCCACAAAACGGAGCCACCGCCTCCCGGGAGTTTCCCAATTAACCCTGATCTAAAAACGTTGGTTTAGCATGAGAGACAATGGTCTCAGCAAACCGGGTGTTCTAGATCTAAAATATGATCACGTGCTGCCGTCCAGTACGAAGGCTTCAGACAGTGTCTTCGATAAAGACCGTTCACTGATCTGGATGGCCCAGGGGCCCAATGTTGCGCTTTTTGGACTCCCAGGGCGACCAGGGAGTGGGAAGTGACGTCAACAGCGTTCTTTGGATGTTGATCGGTGGAGTCGCTGATGACGAATTTCTGCGATGTCGTCGCGGCGTCAGAAAGTGAGTTTCCGCGATTTGTGGTGTTGCTAAGATACGTTCATTCACACCTACGTCACTTCTTTCTCCCTAGTCGCCGTGGGAGTACAAAAAGCCCAACATAGGTCCCCTGTTCACTGCTTGAGTGACGAGTCTTAAGACCTCGTTGCTGACAATTCCTTTTCCAGAATTTTGCTGGCGTCTTCCTTTTCCTTCTTGAACCAAATCTGAACAGCAACTCATTGAATGCAGAAATGCAATGTCATATTATCATGAAAACCGAGTTAAATGCAGATGCGCGTCGTCCACAGCTGGAAGATGTGGAAAACAAATATGGTGGCTTCGAATGGTATGATGATGACAGCTGCGGAGCACTTGCTCGTGACGCGCTTTGAGCGTCCCCAGAATAATGGTTCATGGTACGTGCAAGAAACGCGAAGCTTGAATTTTATTAATTAAGGTGTTTAACCTATTAGAAGGATACCACGGGGGGTAAGCTGGCAGCAGCACTTCAACGGCAAATATCACTCAGTTATTTGGAACTTTGGCTCTAAAACAAATGGGAGCAGGCAAAAATATATTTATAAAAATAAGGAGGCCGTATTTCCATTTACGTCAATGCACAGAATGCTCCATATAATCATTTTTGTTAGCATTTTCGTTCGTTAGCATACCGATTGTGCTGCGCTTTTGGGCACGAATCGCCGTGAATCGTGGATACTGGAGCCACTAAATAAGCTACGCTTCAAAGTAACAACACTTAGCCATCTTGGTGCTTAAAATCATGGTTTCCAGTTATCTGAAGCAGTTTATAATCACAAGAAACGCTTTCCCGTCGTCCACAATGTTTAAACAGTTCGCGACAAAGCAAAGGAATATTACCTAAGCTTCCTAACACCGAATCGAATGCTGAGGTAGTCGCACTTTTGAATCATGACGATCGGCAGTGGCGTCCACTCTGTACTAATCACCAAGATGGCGGCACCCACAACAATATCGGGGAAGAAATTACCGACATTCTAAGCGTGGCTCTATAGAACAGGGACCGTTCTGACCCGTGAGATAATCACACATCTTTTTCTTGCACACCATCGCCATGCCTTGTGTTTTCTTAAAGTGTCTTTGACTAAAGTAAGTTTCACAAGTTATAAACCGTCTTCGGGTCGTAGCCGACATTTCAATTGCAACCAAGCCGGCACAACAAAAGATTTCACTTGCTCTCTATTTCTTTTGCCACTATTATGTTTTATTTTTACTTTACAATATACTTTTTCACCGGTTGTGCTCACTGTTTCTCCTTATTAATGTTTGTTTGCGATTCATTTCAGTCGTGGTGGATTCCAACCTGTGGTACCACAAGACACTCATCATCGGAGATGAAGTCAGCATCGCGATCGGCTCGGAATACGACTGAAAACAGCGTTGCTCTTCCGTCTTTCCTGACACGCCGTTTTAACAGTCGTGTTCGAGCTGTCAGACGGCGGCTTTCTCGAAAACACCGCCCATAGCAGTCTTCGGTTTACCCTCTTACGCGATTGTAAAGAGCCCGTGCTTGAGTGCAACGAGGCGAAAGTTCCGTTTGGCGCTTTTATTGCTAAAAGCAAGGTCTAGAATACTGGAGCTGGGGAAGCGTATCCTCTATCACGTACAGCCCTCCTACGCAGACTGGACACTCCCCCAAAGTGCTGTCTTCGATTTTCCCCTATTCACGTACCCAACGCTTGAATTGTATTTGCTACGGGACATCGTTACTTAGTAAGGACTTAACTCCCCCCCCCCCCCCTTTCCCCCCATCTCCCTTCCAGAAGGAAAAAAAGAACAAAGGCAACGGAGACGCTGTTGTATTCCTCCCTTTTTATTGTATGCCCACGTTTCGGGTTGTACGTTTTTACTGTGTTTCACCAGTTAGCCCGTCGCCTCGCTCTTCTTTCACTAGTCACTACCTTTTGCTGATGTCCAATGCATTTTGGTTTTTTCGTATGAGCATGCTGAAAGAAATTTGATTTCATGTAGCAAGGAGACGCGAATTTTACCGTTGGAACGTATTCATGTCCCAGGTCTGTTGCACAAGTTCCCTATTTGCTAGCGTGTGCACGTTTGTGCGTGCGCGCTTGCGAGGGTGTACTTGTGAGTGTGTGTGCGTGTGTGTGCTTCACTGGGTGCATTCGAGTGTCCCGCTGCCTCGGGGTGAGTTCAACTGTCAATAAATGTGCGTTGGCGTCTGCTTGTGTCTGTGACCTTAGCAACTAACCCGCCCGAATTCCAACTTTGAGTGCTGCTCCGCTATTTCTGTCGCTTCCATTTCAGCCCGGTTTCTGGCTACGCATAAAGTCAATATAAACTCGGCAAGCTCGCCGGTGTTGCGCCATAAAGGTAAGCATGCAGCGAGGGCATTACGCAAACAGGCTTTTTGCCCGAAGAAAAAAAAAAAAAAAAGGAAACGGCGCAAACGACGCCGAATGCGTCGACGCAGCCAGAAAACATTTAGTTTTCGCAAGCCGGGCTAGCGTGCACGCGGAAAATATACCAAATGTTGGCGTTGTGCGTGCGTGCGTGCGTGCGCGCCCGCGCGTGTGTGTGTGTGTGCATGTGTGTTTCTTTTTTTTTGCGTAGAAATCGCGTTTTCTTTTTTTTTTTTTTTTTTTTTTTGGAGGGGGGGGGGGGGTGGTTTTTAGATGGTTTTGCGGTAAGGTTGACTTTACATTTGGCGGAGAAAAAAGAAATGTCTGGCCAACTTTGTACTTCACTCCCTGCATGGATACTCCCGTAAACGCCTCGCTAAGTTCCAAGTTCTGGCTCTATTTTTTCTTTTTTTCCTTTTTTTTTTTCTTCATTTTAGCGTTCTGTCAGGGCCGAAAGACAACGAGTGGCATTGGGCCGTTGTGACGAATTCGCCATGGGAGTTGACTTTTTTCGGCCGTTGAGGATTACGTTGTGCATTGACACTCGTAAAGTTTAATTGTTTTTTTATGCAATTATTTGTGTTTCCTTTATCACTTTTGAAGCTTCGCGTGACAACTTAAGTTTTCTTTGCACGTTGCACGTTGCAGTTCTTTATCGAGAGTTTTCATATAAATATTCAACTGTACTCAGGACGCCACGGGCGTCATTTTAACTGAAAGCATCGTTGGAACCGTCAACAAATAAAATTGGTGTCTTTTTCCCAAATGCAGTTGATTTATATTCTAGCCGCAACCAAAAATTACGGACTATGCAAAGGTAATACAACGGGCGGCTATAGTACAATAGAGGACACGTTATCATGTCTTGCAGCGCTATCCAGCAGTAAAAAACTGATTCGTGGAAACTTGGATTGCCTATTAGACTGGCCCACGCCTCTCCTGGCTTCCCTTTTCCCTTCAGCCCAAAACACACAAACACAGATCCTCGTCATAGTGCCCGTGTGAAAGTGACAAGACCAAAAATGGGAGAAGGCAATGCGGGTAGAATATATGAAGAGCCGTGGGGTGGAGGTTTTTGGAGGCGCCTTTATTGTTTCTGTAAAAGTACACCTGCAGCGTGCACGCTCTACGACACACAAATCACGTCTGGTAAAGGAAAGATCGAAAGCTTTCAAAAGAGAGAAGAAAACTGGACGCAAAACTTTGTGTGGAGGGGAGGTGGGGAAGGGAAAAAGAGAAGAAAGAAAAAACCCGCGAGATGTCAGCAACAGCGTAATTAGCTTTGTCTTCGAAACAAGAACAAAATGAGAAAGTTACGATCCACGGAATTCGCGAAACAGTCGACCCGGAAAAAAGAGAACAGACATTCGCATTTGAAATAACCGTACGTGTATATGGACAATTTATGTAAGTGTAACAACAGGAAATCAAGTTGTGTGTGGTCCAGAAAGACCAAGGAAAACCTTCATACCTCCTCTTTTTTTTTTTCAGTTCAATTTATTCAACTTTTATTCGGTTTCGCAAGAAGCCCGTCGTTAAATATCCCCACAACAGTCTTGTAGTTCTATGTCGGCAATGATTATTATTTTTTTACAGCACCATGTGCCAAGGTAACAATGCGTTGTTTCAAGAGTTAAAACAAATCGAGCGTATTCTTGGAAGTAATCAGTTTCTCATGAGTGAGGAGGATACCTCCCGCCCCCTTCGAAAATGTCAGGGTTGCCTACTGGATATGCCAGCTCTTCCGCCAAGTGTCTTAACTAGGTCCCCTTTGCTTTGTTCTCAAGTCACCAAAGACTAACATCGGTTGACAAAAACACCAACTCGTGCCTTCACTCTTTTTTTTTTTTTTTTTGATACGTTTGGTCACTTAAAGACGAAAAACCTGCGAGATGTTATTCGCTTTCTCGAAAGCGCCCGAAGCTCCCGAGAGAGCGAGGTCCTTAAGAAACAGAGCGACGCCTAGAATTTCAAGAGACCTAATCGATTGTCCGCTGAGCTCCGCCGGGCTGCCCGGCATCCGGGGTTCCCGTCGGCAGGGCGATGGTGACTCGGCGCTTGAGCCAACCTTTTGGCAGTCAAAGAAAGTGGCTTTGGCGGAAGCCGCTGGCTTCACCCAGCACGGCAACCCGGCGCTTTCGTGCGTGCTGCTGTGGGGCGAGCTTCAGCGTCGACGCGACTGTTGCGGCTCCTGCTGCTGCTGTTGTTATCGGTGGTGGCGGTGGCGGCGGTCCTGGTGGCGCAGCGGCGGCCGAGGCGGACGGCCCGAGTCCACTCTAGTAGTTCTGGCTCGACTCTTCGGTGACGAACACCTGCCTGGTGCCGCCGGGAACCTGGCTGGTGGTCACCCAGGAGCGGTGCTTGGCCCGAATCATGGACAGGTTGCTCTCGGCGGAGTCGGCGCGGTCTTCGGCCGCCTCCAGTTCGCGTTGGAAGCGGCGCACGCGGGTCAGGTTCTGCTGGCTCATGCCCTCCTGCGAAGGAAGCAGCAACGTTTCGACTCCGCAGTAGAACAGAGGCAAAAATGTGAGATTACTGTTCGCGGCATTAATCTGACTAGTAAATTCTGGGAACGGAAGAGCTACGGAGAAATATGGAGCACACGCCTAAGCGCGAGCAAGCACCCATTCTAGTTTATCACCTGCCCATTACCGATACATTTATTGAATAACAAAGAAAACAATACATCCATTTCTCTTTTTTTAAATAACAATTAAAGATCGTTATTAAAATTTTGTTGCACAAAGTTTTACTCCATTTATTAAACATTTACATTTGAAATATGTTGGTTGTTTCTTAGATTACGTCGAATATTTACTGTAAACGTGAAACCAATAATTTTAAATTTAGTTTCTTTTTCAACTAAAAAAAAGTTTTTATCCTCATTAATATGAAGCAGAAGCACAATTTGAAATAATCGCATGGCTAATTTAAACGCTGCGTGAGTCAAAAACGCGAAGAAATAACGTTCGCTGCTATGCCGCTTTTCACTGAGCCCCGAAAAATCTCTGCGTGTTTGAGCAAAACAAACTGTGAACAGGAAGCTTCCTTGAAGTGGTATAACATGAGGCATTGCCAATATTATCGCAAGAGCGCTTAAAGACTGCACTCTCCGCGTGCTATTCTCTTCGTGCCAATATCACCTTGGCGATACTTTCCCTCAGACTGCCTCAGGTAAGATTTTTTTTCGTGCATTACGAGCAAGCCCTCGTGACTGTTGCAAGCGTTAGCCGGATTCCCGAATTGGGAGACGCATTTGATACAAATTTGGTCAGGCGCTTGACCAGTATTTCGCCGTCAATGTAACCTTAAACAAGAACGTTTGCAGAATTTCTTCAGCTCTTCTAACCCGCTTTATAAGGTGCGATTTAAGAAATAAAAAAATATGATGAGTCTCTAGAAACCGTTGAGTACAACGGGAATAGGTGCGAGCAGTACGTGTACGATTTGAAACGGGAGTAAATAGGATTTCTAAAGTATAGGCTAAACTCGTTTGGTGTAACTGCAGATAGCTAATTACTGCTGTAGACACCAGCACGTTCAGCGCGTGTAGCTATACTCGTAGCACGCTTTACATACTTAAATAATTTAGCAAACTTTGTCTACAAAGAGCGTGAGCGGCGGTGGATAGGCGCGCACCTGTTCGTTGAGCTGCCTCTTGTAGACCTTGACCTTCTCGTTGAGCTTCTCGACGGCGTCGTTGAGCATGGTGATGGTCTTGTGGTCTTCCTCGGTCTGGAGCAACAGCTCCTTGGCGCGGTGGTCCTTCTTGCGCAGGATCTTCTGCGTCTCGGCATGGCGTTTCTTCTCCTCCTCCACTTCGATCTCCACGTCGCGGATCTGCACAAGAAAGCCACACACGGTTCAAGCATGTCACTCTACATGTCATCCAATGTCACAGCAAAGTCCACTGTGGCCATCTGACGTGCGAACGAAGCCGAAGCTACAACCACGAGCATGGTTCCCGAAACGATGCCACGAGAGCACGTGCTCGGCAGGGAGGCTGAAAGCCCAGGACTTGCATCTGTAGCTTCTGCTACGCTCGCACTTGATGTCAAACAAAATATAGGTAAATATTTACCCAATTCTCCTTAATGCAATTCAAACAAAAAGTTAAGGTTTAAAAGTGGCCGCGATACCAAAACGCGTTTCTATGATGTCCTCGGGAAGAGTTGGCCGGGTGCTTACCAAATAAGACTACGGCAAGCGATCCTACGTGATTCGATGAAGGAATCAATGTGATTTTAGCGATTAGCTTGGGTGACCTTGTATAATGTGCCAGACAGTTCAGACCAAAGCTGGAACATGATTTCATTTCTTGCAGATCGGTAATATTTTCATTTACTCAATGCAGTAAAAACATTCAGTCAGATTCGTTTTTTTATATTTTTATCCTTTTTACGAATAATATGTTTCACTCTACTTTTCTTTTACTCACGTGAGCCTATGTCGACATAACAACTTAAATTGGAGTAGATTAGGCTTAACCATGTAATCATTCATATCAAGAATTTACATATTTTTTGTTGTAGTACCAAATGGTTTCTTCTTATTTGAAAACACTCGAGCGCTTTTATAATTAACAACTCAATCAATTTACGTTCAGGTGCCTCGGCTTTGTCGAAATCATGTGAAGATACAACGCTCTCATGCACTGACACAAATGCTAAAATCAGATGATAACAAAGCATTTTTGATAAGCCTGAATATGACATTTACATTACCCAAACGTGGATGAGTGGCGCGTTCATCGAGTGTAAGTTAACACGCTCGGCTAGCAATGTCTGTGAAGGAAGTGTCAGTCTTTGACCCATCTAAGGACACTCACTCTGGACTCCAACTTGGCGATGACGCGCTTGCCTCCAGCCAAGGCGTTGGCCTCCACTTCTTCAAGGCGCACCTGCAGGTTGCGCACTTCGATCTCTAGGGACTTCTTGATGGACTCCACCTTGATGTAGCGCTCCTGCTCCTCAATCAGGATGTCCTTGGTGCTCTTCAGCTCAACGATGGTGCGCTGGCAGCGCTCGTCAACCACCTGAAATACAGTCGCAAGGAGCGAAGGTATACAGATGAGCTGGTTAGGAAACATCATAATCTAAAACCTGACAAAAGGAAACATAAAATAACTGCGAAATTGAAAGGAAATCCCGGGTATTGGGAATAACGGAAATTGTCTGAGCCAGCCGTCTATAGTTTTGAACAAAGGCGTAAAAAACAATCCAGTTGCTGTGATTTTTTTTTTTTTTTTGGCGTTGTTTAGTGGTGGGTGGTCTGAGATCGGGGGGGGGGGGGGGGGGGGGGGGGTCTTTCGCTTGATTAACATGGCCTTAACGGAGATTAGCATGTCGGGTAGCTTGGCGGTGGGTATCTGCTGGTGATGTGGTTTCAGGGTGGAGGTCAATCAGACTGGCTCAGTTCCGCCAACTTTGCGGCGGCAGGTCGTTTTGTCGTCCCTCTTTCCTGTCTGTGTTGACGGCTATAAATTAATGTTCCCTTGTGAATAAACTCAGCTGCGTTTGAGATTTTGTGTCGTCTTGTCCGTTGTTTTATTTCTCAATGTCTCAGGGCTTAGATTAGATCGAAATACATTCTCGTTTCAGCTGCGATTTCCTGCAGAATGAGGAGTGCGCCGAAAAAAAATAGTTTCTATCGAATCTTCTTTTTCATGCCTTTGTTTGTTTCAATTAAATCAAATTGCGCGGCACATTGAAAGTGTTCGCAGATTAGGTTTGTCTGACAATGATAAGTAAACTACTAGTTGGTTATGGTAATAGCTTCGAATGTGCTTAATAGTTGCGACGAACTTAACAATCATATAGAGCTCTAGACCCACTACAAGTACTCAGCAGATTTTCGAATACCATAGCCGCAATATAAGGACAGTGAGGAACGTCAACGTAATGAGCCGTGCACATGAAATCCCGCCATGTGGCTGTCAAGTGGTCAGAGCTGACAGCGAAATAGCCAGCATCCAGGGATTGACATTTACACCGAAGAACGTGAGATTTATGACGATTCTATTCTTTCTTTTGTTTTTTTGTCTTCTAGTTTGAATAAAAAACATTAAGGCGATAAAATGTCCTCACCCTGAGCTCCTTGTGGAGTTCGTCGTAGTCGGCCTGCAGGGCGGACAGCTCGCTCTCCAGCTTGTTCTTGGCAGCGGCAATGTTGACGTTGATGGTGGTCAGCTCGTTCACGCGCACCTGCGACTCCTCCAGAGACTGCTCCGCAACGCGCTTGGAGCGCAGAGCCTGGGGATTGGCAAGGAAAATCGTTTCAGTGGACTTCTCTGAAATTCACGTTGACAACGTCTCTCCAACGACGCCCACGAAACTTATCTGATTGAATCCTAACCAAAAATGAAAGTGACCCCAGTTTGTCGAGCACTCAGGTTTTTGGCCATGAATAAATATTAATAGCGAAATCAGGACTACTTCCGCAATAACTAAAGTGCCTTTACTGAAGATAGAAATCTCCAAGAGAGAATAGAGAATTGGGGCCAAGCCCTTTTGCTCTAGCATTCAGTTATATTTTAACTACGAGAAATTGTATCGAATGTACTTACAGATTCCAGGGCGACACGCTGTTCGTCCAGTTCTGCCTGCAGCCCCTGGCAACGCCTTTGAGACACGGCCAGTTGGTCGGCGGTCTGCTGCAGTTGACGGTGGATCTCGTCGTAGTGAGACTGCAGCTCCTGTTGGGTAGACGCATATACGTTGAAATATAAAGCACTGCAGCGTAATTAGGACATTCATATCCATACAAATGTTACAAAACTACATGAAAAATCTACACGAGAAAACAACAAGAAAATTTGCGTTGCAATGACGTCGCATTTCGTCTTGATATCTTTCTATAAATTCCCACTCAGCTCGATGACGCACTCTTAACGGGCGACGCGAAGCTTGGCAAACCCTGATTTTTGCTCTTTGCACGCACATCAAGATCAGTCTTATTGTCGTTATTGAGTCGCGGGTAAAGGCACATGCAGCGATCGCGTTTCGGACACCTAAAAACGACAGACATTGAAAACACTAATGCCGATTTAGATCTGTCTTCTTGTCAGTGTGTGTTAAATTACAGCTTTGCGCATACTAACTGCTTGATGCTGTTGCGTCTAGGTTTCTCATAAAGCTTTGGGTTTTTACCAAATCAAATTATAGCAAGCGTATCACGAAGACTATTACTTTCAGACTGAGCTGTGATCCAGTAAATATAGAATAAAGAAGCGCAGCTTCCCTTCAGGCTCGACCGTCGTCCAAGCCCACGATGCACTCCTTCAGTACGTAACGTTCCTTCACCATTGGGCAACTCTGGATACTATACAAGCCACGCGGAATCCGGGTGTTCTTACCTGGATCTGGATAGCCTGCTTCTTGATGATCTTCTGGAGGTCGAGGTTCTGCTTGTTGGCGGCATCCAAGGACATCTCGAGTTCGGTGATCTGCACCTGGTACTTCTTCTTGAGACGAGCAATCTCGGTCTTGAGCTTTGCCTCGGCCTCGGCGAGCCGCATTTGGAGCTGCTCCACCTCCAGCTGATATTGCTTGCTGAATTCACAAAACAAGAAAGCCGCCGGTCAGATGTGTGTCGTATAAAAACAGAAACAACCAATTGTGACGAGCACTGTGATTTGAAGTAAGTAAAAAAGGTTTGAAAAAAAGTGTAATACACGAAGAAATCTAAAAAACAAAACATAAATGGGTATTTCGATTAACGTTACGAAATAATTCGCCACGCAAATATATATTTCATCACGCACAAGTTGCACAAGTGCCCTCGATGACGAAATGCGTTTTCACAGCGAGGAAAATTGCTCAGTGCGTTCGAAAGTACCACAGAAACGAGCTCATATTCGATTTTCTCAAGGCTTCCAAAGAAGCTTCGGAAGAGCTGAAATGATGGATGGCACGGTTGTCACCCGTGAAACAGGGTTACATACCATGTTTCACGGGTCCGCGTGCGATACGTGAAGGCATTCAAAGCACGATCGTATACTACGTAATGACCCAAACAAACAACGTACATTTGCCTCACCTACACGAAGTGCAGCAGATGCGGAGGTGCCTTTACCATAAACCATTCAGGGGGTCGACACATCACATGGAACACGAACGATGTGGGGGGTTCAAAATCTTTAAGTTTATTTTGCTCTGAAGAGGGCTACTCTAAGCTACATTGAATCCACAGATGAAACGAAACGTCTCTCAAGTAACGCTGCTGCTAGGGGCGTACATCCTTGGGTAGGGAGGTCAACTGACGGCAAACACGAATAGTGGAGGCGGCACATGGCAAGCGGGGCTGCTAGCGGGTCTGGTCTAGAACCAGTAGCTGTAGTCGAAGTAGCTGAAGGGTCTCCTGCGGCGATAGATGGTCGCGAACGGGTCGCCGGAGTAGGACGGGATCTGTCTCTTGATGGACTCCGGGTGGAACCAAAGGCGCTGGTGTTCCCGGCGCAGGCGGTCCTGCACCTCTTGCATCTCTAGCTCGGCCATCAGAGCCCGGTGATCCTCGATTGAGCGCAGGTGGCGGTCGTGGGACGAGTGCACGTGCACCTTGTTCTGGGGTCCGAACCTCCGTACAGCCTTGTCGTCCGCGTATAGCACGCGGTTTAGCTGGCTTCTGGTGTAGTCCGGGTGGCTGATGTAGGACAGGGAGTTGCTCCTGCGTAGAGCCAAGTCGTCGCCGGTGTCCCAGCGCTTCATCAGGCGGTACATGGACGGTACCCTGGGGTAGCGGGTCAGGAAGTAGGTATCTTCGAAGCGTCGGCTTGACAGGAGGGCCCTCGGGGTGAGGATGCCTTCTCGGAGGTATAAGTCGTCCACGGTCTTGCGGTACAGGCTGTCGCCGTACTGCTGATTCCGGTCGTACACCATGTGTAGGTAAGGTTGTCGGCGGCGGGTTCCCATCGTCGATCCGCAGAGCTCGGGACCTCGGCTCGCCGACCGAGCACGGCTGGCGGTGGCGCTGGAGGCAGGGCCCGCCCCTCGGCCCCTGTGGCTCACTGTTATTTCGAGCGTTGCCCAACAAGGCTCTAGGCTTGGCCGCGGGGGTCCTATTTCCAGGCGTGCCTCCCCAAGGCCCCTGCTGGCACGCAGGGGGCTCTCCCGCCCCGACCGGCTCCCGGAAAAGCCTGAGCGACCCGATCTGGCGCGTCCTCTGCGCACCACTCCTGGGCTCTTGGGGGAATGTGTCGGCCGACACTGGTGCACTGCCCGTGGCTTTTCGCCCATTGGGCCCTTCCATCACTCCGTCACGCGTCCGCTTCGAAAGGAGTCTGATCGTGTTCTTGGGCTTTTCGTGGGATTCCATTCCACAAGCATCGATGAGGTGTTGGTTTCTTACACTGCGATCGCAACGTGAGCGCATTCCTGGCAGTGTTCCAAGATGGCTCGAGAGCATTCCTTGTCTTCTTCTTCTTCCCTTTATTTTTGTTTTCTGCTGACGAATTTGCGTTTCTGTACAGCGAGTGTTGACCTCAGCACTTCTTTAGTGTTTTTTGCTCACCCACTTTCTTGGGGACCTTGGCCGTCGTACTTTTTTTTAACTCCGTGCTCCAATTCCTTTTCAAACCGGCGCTTTAGCAGGAGAGTCTTATAAGTAAACCCTCGTCGATATGTGAAATTCTCGTAGTTTCGTCGCACCTGATTTTAGCAGAGTAACCTTGATGCGAGCTCTGCGACCTTCGTTAGATGTTCTTGGCAACCGGGAATGTGAAGTAAAGGTGCGAGCTGGTTCGTATCCAACACAAGGGTGTGGCAAGAACTCTGTTCGAGAGTCTAAGCTAGAAACCCAAGGGTGAATAAGACTATCTCGCCTGCTGCTAGGGCCCTTAAAGAGCATTAGGTTTTTGGCCTCGTTTGAAAGTCAGCAGTGACAAAGATGAAGGACGTTGTCAAGGACTAATTTCGCGACTATTCCTAGAAAGTTCGCATTCTTCTTTTACTTGTTGCTAGTTTTTTTTATTATTATTATTTACAGGGTTTTGCAACGCCGTTCGGCATCATAGCAGGGATGAGTACATGAGATACATTAAATTCTAACAAAAGTATTGCTCGCACGTTCGCCGCCAAGTACAATGTTTCATTAAATTGGTTATTGTGTCATGCCTAAAATATCTACTTTGCAAAGTAGAGTTTCTTTGCTTGCGTTAGACTTAAATATTTCTGTAGGTTCTATACTCTGTTTCACCTTATGATGTACCGCAGGAAAGGCTACAAGCGCGAGCTCCTTGCTCAGGGGTACATCTCGGCGGCACATCCGCTCGTGCGTTAAGAGCAGCTCCCAACGCTATGAGCTCGCGCTTCTAGCCTTCTCCGCGGTACAACATAAGGTGAAACGGAGTATAGTACTTTACCGGTGTTTCACAAGAAAGCGTATCGTGAAAGAAGAGACAAAAAAAGATCCACTCCGGGTGCGCGCTTCGATGCATGCTTCGAAGTTTTCGAGCGAGCTAACAGGATCTTCTGAACGTATGACCTGAAGCGACAGCTTACGCTACAGGACCGCAAGATCAATTGGATGAAGATTGTACTTTCTGTGAAAAAAAACTGTTAGCGAGCAGGCGAGCTGGTGCGTATTTATCATGATGTGGAAAATAAACTTGAAGATGTTTTAGAAGAAACAGAAAAAAGGTGACAGACAAGCCTCTCAGTCTTTTGAGTCACTCGACTGTCACCTTGCTTCTTTCTTTTTTAATATATCTTAAAGTTTCCTTTCCAGTCTCAGGGTTTAAACATCATGATTGTACTTTCATGTGATCAGTACAGCGTCATGAGCGTTAAAATCCCAAGTTAGCAGGCGTACTGTATTCGCTAACTTTCTGAACTAAAGCATGAACCGGTGTCGCAATATTTTTCAAATGCAGATGGACCTACCTCTGTCTAACCAGTCAACTCTAATACTGGCTAAAACTTCCCAATAGCTACAATGGTACCTAAAGACAATACGAAGACAAAACAAATAAAATTTGTTCTGCGAAACCAATTTTAATCGTTATCCAGTTATCGTAAGCCGTGTGAGTTTCATAAAGTTGAAACATACTTCTAAAAGTTTGCTTATAGTCTCTGAGAAATTTAAAAACAAAAAAGTTAAAAGACTTTAAAGGATTTAAAAGACTTTTGAAACTCCCCCCCCCCCCCTTTCACATGGGCTCATTCCCAGATATGTTTATAGCCGGAAAGCGACTGCTGACTGACCACTTTTCATTCCTTTGAAGTGAGGCTCCTAGAAGTCTACATTTTTAGACCTCTGAATGGGCTTCGCTGCCAAAAGAAGCAATTCCACAAGGTATTCTACCCTATACGCTATTTGGTACGTTTATAAATATTCGAATGTTGACGGTCATGAAGAAACAAAACAATTGAGTCATATGAATTTTGTTGTTTCCAGCACAGGGGATACACATATGCACCATATGGTGCAAGTCAGCAAGCTGAGGGAACAATATTCGGTGCAAGGCAGAAAAGGTTGTGAAAGACTTTGTTGCATTTTACGCCATACACTTCTACACACAAAACAGTTATCATTCGATTACGTATCTGAGTTTGTAAACATTAATACAAACATATCTGAGGAGAAGCACCTCAGAGAGGTTTGTACGTAATATTTGCACAAAACTAATTCCACTATTAACACGCAGGGTTGCGAACCTTATAATCATTTGTTGGTCGTCCCAACAAGACCGACATCTAACACGTCTAACAGACGTAACTTTTGTTTTCAGTTTTAAGAGCTCCTCCTAGAGCATGTTCAAAACCACTAGTGATACCAAGTATTAGTTCTTCATAAAAGTACGCAGCTGCGCATGTGCAAACAACCGGCAAGTTTAACTCCATGCAGAAATGTATCCGCTGTCAGGCGATGGTACACGCTCGCCCATTACTCGATAGAAGAGCTGCATATCTCGCATTGTAATCATTTTACTTAAAGGTCAACTAAAGATATTTTATATACAGAATTTTAAGGGATATAATATAATTTGCATGATTGAGTAACTTATAAAAACACGAACTATTTACATGCACGCAGCAGGAGGATTAGAAGAAACTGGGAAAAAAAGGATTAGTGTCCGAGTTGGCACTAGTCCTTCCCTTTTCGCGCTGATGACACGTGTTCTAATGTAATTTTGCATTATCCTAGCAACAAAGCGAAAGAGACGTAACCGAAGATCACGTTAGTTACTGACTCAAGTCAGTCAGGTACCATCCAGTTGCCTTGTTTCACTTACTTTGCATCAAAGCCTGTATTCCCTTCACAGAGCAGAATAGAGAAAGTCCACATCTTTGAATGCGTCTTTGATAGATAAGCATAACACTTATTCTGGTATATATATTTTTTAATCATGGGAACACGTACGTGAAGTTAGCGCTATACAAAAAACTTTTTTTAGCATACCTTTAGTTCTTAAAATCAGCCTTACTTAAACAGGCAACAGAGGGATACATCGATCTCATACAGGCCTTCCTCGTGTTACTCATCAATCACTGACGAGTATCACGCGGCATGCCTGTCTCACCACTCTACCTCTGTCATGATTAGATGAACGAACCTCTGGCACGGCGGTATATCTAGCACGCCGCTCACAGCCAGAAGTCTTCGTCGTATATTAAGCGGGACTCGAGTGCACCGGCCAGTACAGATATAAAAGATAGGTGCACTTGCACGAACCACGCACCACTGATGGACGAGGGGAGCGGGCTTAATGAAACGGGCTATTTCCGCGGACATTTTGGCGCCCTTCTGATTGGAATGTGGAGTAATGAGTGGCATCGCTCACCGGAGGGCTTCGATCTCCTCGTCCTTGGCCTGCAGGCGGCGCTCGTACTCGTGGCGGACCTGGGCCAGCTCGGCGGTGAGTCGTTGACACTTGGCTTCTTCCTGCTTGCGCAGGGTCTCAGCCTCCTTGTAGGCGGCCGCCAACTCGTCGCGCTCGTTCTCCAAACGCTTGATCTCGATTTCGTACTCGTGCAGACGACGCACGCAATCTTGCAGCTGGCTCTTGGCATCCGCCAAGTCGTCTGCGCGCGAGGAAAACAGCTGCCATTGTCAAAGTCCTCCCAGTTATGTGTTTAACATATATCCAAATATGAAAGATAGTATTGTGTTTTCGCTTAATTTTGTGTTCGCTTCATTATCCAGTTAATTACTATTTCAAGTCCCCAATTCACCAGTGACGGCATTTACCGTCATTCTCTCATAGTGAAAACGAAAAAAAGCTTTCGTTTCTCGTGACTCTCGAAAACTTTTCTTGCAAGAGTTTGTTCCCTTTGTCGAACCATGCCTCCTCTGTACGGGGAAAGTCTAAAAAGTCTCCGCGATTCCCCAAGGCTCGGAGATTGACTCAATGGCATGGCATCAACCTCACCGAACAACATTTACTTTCTTCAAAATACATTTCGCGACGGCTAAATGTGTTTTGGAAAATGGCCGCTGCTGTGGCACAACGCTAAGCTCCAAAATGTTTAAGATTTTTTTTTCTTTTTTTGGTTATCCCTTTTGCGAATCTTCCAGGTTTCCTCACTACAAAGGAGGCTATGGTGAACAGAAGATGGAAAGTGTGAGACAAATGTTGTTTGGTTTGATGAATTCTGGATCGACCTTCCTTTCTTCCCAGGAAGTAAAACAACTCTTTGCACGGAAACAAATATCCTGCACGCAATTTGAAACAGCGAATCACGGTTTCTGGTAAGCTTAAGGGCTGGGAGTTGAAATTAAACCCCGAAAAATTTATCTTTCTCAAATCCAAATGCGCTAAAATTTTTGATTTAAACAAATTACTTTAAAACAAAATTACATTTTGTGCTCGAAGGATTGACTGAGATATTCACAAAGATAACTTATTAAGTGGCCCTCGTATTTAAAAGAAAATTTGGTTGTACATCAATATAGTGTGCGTTAATTATTCAAATATGAAAGCAACGTTGAGACTGAAATATAGGGTAGTAGTTCGAACCGAACTCCCAAGCCTCTTTCCTCTGCAATTGACTGAATCACTCGCAGGAAGCTATTTTGTTATGTACAATTGACATCTCAGCCCTCCGTATCCGCTCACAGTAGTATCAGGAGCATGAGTCCCTACTGATAGCTATATGCGAAAATAAATCTCATTGAAGGAATGGTTGGTCATAGTCAAATACCCACCTTGAGTATGAGATATGCGCTGGAGATACGAGCTTTGCGTCGCGCCGTTCAGTATTCCATTAAATTTAGGATCTTGGTAACGATAAAAAATATCAATGCCTTGACACCCTGGAAGTTTCTTTAATGTAATATATGGACGTGTTTTTGTTTTTTTAATAGTAATATCAGTATTTTTGGGAGCTTATTGAATGAACGGCGGCGATTTGTGGCTGTCGTCCTCAGCATGAATTATACGACCTTGCATTGCTTCATGTGTATGCTTTTTAACAATTACTGCCTTTGACTTTAAGCTCTGTGAACATCGACGAGGTTAACGACAAGGGTGAAGATCCGAACGTTATGACATCTAGTCAGTTGAGGCTAAAATGCCCGAGCCCCACTAAAGCGACATACAAAAACAACCGACCCCGACAAGCCTCCAACACGTGCAGCATGTACGCGAGGGCACCTTTGGCAAGCTTGCAATCACTTCTGCTTACTTGACAAGCACCGAAAGACTGCAAGCCTGTCCAAGGTACTACCATCGCGTGCATGCTGAACATTTTTGAGGCTTGATGGTGTCGGTTGTTTCTGTTTGTCGCTCTGGTGGAACTTAAGACCCCTACGCACAGTTGCGTTTGAGAGCGTTTGAGTGCGTTTGACGGCGTTGCTTCGAGAGACTAAAGCGAATCACCGGCACATCTGTACTTCGTAGAAAGCGTGGAATCCAATTCAAGGAATCATCTTGGCACGCGACATGAGAAGCAGGGATGTCCCAGTTTCTCGCAGCCTTCAACGCTGTCAAACGCACCCAAACGCTCTCAAATGCGACTGTGCGTAGAGGCCTTTAGGCAGAATAAAGCCAGCGAGTGTTTAAATTCACTATCATCACGCCAGCCATAACTTTATTAATGCGGGTGAGGTTTTTTTGTTAGTTTTTTTTTACTTTTGCCAAGTCACTTTCCACTGATAGTTTTGCCAAAAGTTGGAAGGACACAATTTCTGCTCATTAAGCGGAAGCATCTCTTGTGGCAGTCAATATGGAGTGACAGCGTCCTGCCGGCGTGAGCAGTAACGATTATTTTAAGGACGACCTTCAAAATATCTAAGTATTTCTTTCCCCAGTCTTGTTTTAAGTGAGTTATACCCTCGTTACACGGGCGCACTTAACTGCACTTACGCTAGGCCACAGTTAGCGCAGAATACTTGCGGACAACATTCTGCGGCTATGCAGTCAAAGCTATGGGCGAACGTGCACTAGAGCATCTGGAGCACGCATCGAAGCAGTGCACGCGCGCTCTTTACTTCTTCTGAAATAGCTGCCCGAGAGCATAGTGCGGTAACTGTGGTGCCACGTAACAGCAGTTAAAGCTGAGTTAACCACGGTTAAGGGTGCCCGTGTAACAGGGGTATTAGGGTTTTAATAAGGCCCGAAACAGCCAGGACGAAAAATTAGCGCTTCAATAACGCGGCGTTTCCCACTTCAGGTAAACTGGGGTCTGGCAACTGAAGGTGGAAGACAAGAAGCGAAGCTAACAAGATCCGATCGTATATATCTAAGAGTGCGGGACAGGGAAGGAGCGACAATGGGCAAATACAGACAGGGCCTTAAACAAGAACCCTGTTTGTTTTTCTCTCTTTTCATTTTTACTCTACCCAGTCTCGGGTTTCACAATGTTTGAAGAAAGACGGAGCAAGCGGTGATCCTGATCATGCAACCCTAGGAGGCCTCACCACTTTAGGAAAGATACAGAATAAGAGAGAAAAGAGAGAAAGAAAAAAAAAAGCAGAGGAGGAATAAAAATAAGCAAGGAAGGCGAAGCCTACGTAGTACGAACAGAAAGAGTGCAGCATGAAGGAAATAGTGGGGATTTATGTCACAAAGCCGATGAGGACATGAGCGACGTCTGAAAAACTCAAGGGGGAAACGACCACACAATGTACTAACTCTGCACTCTGCATTCCAGAAGTTGAAATGGAATCTCGACGCAAAGCGAACTTGCGGAATTCTATTAGGGACTGTTATTTCAAAACCTCAGCGTTAAACAAATACGGTGATTGTTCGGCGACGCTATGTTTAACTTTTCCAACGCAAGATTACAGCAGTAGGGTCGTTCAAGTTTTCAAGGTAGTTCACTGGGGAGCCCTTAAGGCTCTTGCGACCGAGTAAAACCGAGAGAGACCAGACCGGTTTTTAAGCCTCTTGCGACCTCTTAGGACCAGCTCTATGCAGCGTATTCGCTCCTAAGAAGTCGCAAAAGGCTTAAAAACCGGTCTGGTCGTCTTACTCGGTCGCAAGAGTGTGAACGGCGCTTTATGCTCTCTGCATTTAGCGAGCCCACGCGCATAAAATATTCAAAAACAAACTGATAAGAAATATTATAGCCATGCAATATAAAGTGCCACAAACTCGCGACGAATTAGTGGCCATTTCGTATCATTCTCAAGAACGGGGCGTTTGTTTATGAAGTTTCTCAAGAGCCTAGTCTCACTAGGCAAACATTCAGTCAACTCTACTCATGAGTATGAGAACCTATTCACTCATTAAGAATACCACCTGTTTGCAAGCACGTTTGCTCAGCTGGTGGTGAGGAATACTGAAGCATTATTTCGGTTCGCAACGTGGATTGCCTATTCGTGTCTTTTAGTTCTTAGCTTCCAGGCTAGTTGACACAAGTTACTGTCTGATACAAAGGGTACAGCCGTTAGCATCCATCTATGTATCCAATACCATATTGACATGTTCATAAATGTCCCTTTAGCAAAGGGACCTTTATGTTCGGCGGCGAATCAGTTCGTGATCCTCGGCTCGTGGAATGTACTCGCAACCCAAGAGCGCTGGCTGATTCGCCGACTGCAAATGGAGCTATGTTAAAGGTACCTTTAAGCTGGCCGTGTGAATGAAGTATAAAAAGCTATGAACAGGGCCGCTTGGGTGTTCGCCTACTGAGACGCGCCCATAAGGTAGACCGAGCACACGGCCCATGTGGCGTACCGACGAGTTTCTTGTTCTCCCGCTGGAGGGCATCGCGCTGCTCGCGCAGCTTCTCGTACTCGTGCTGGAGCTTCTGCAGGTCGGCCTGCTTCTGACGAAGCTCGCGCTGACTCTGCTCCAGCATAATGGTGAGCTCCTCGACCTTGGACTTGAGGTCGATGTTGAGCTTCTCCAGCTGGGCGACGCGCTTCTCGAGGTTCTGAGCGTGCGCAGTGGCCTTCTCCAGGTCCATGATGAGCACCTCGACCTCGCTCTGCAGTCGGGACTTCTGCTTCTCCAGGCTGCTGCAGCGGGTCAGCAGGGCCTCCAGCTGCTCTTCGTACTCAGAGATCTTCTGGGCCATCTTGCGCCTGCGCACAAGCAGTTTCTCTTTGAGACATCGGCCTAAGTCAGGGCTGGGAAGAACTTTACTCCTCGAGGAACGGATTTTTTCCCTAACGTTATGCCGCTTTGTCGCCGCACAGTAACACGCATTGGTGCCTTAAAACAATACTGCCAATAAAAGCCTAGTTCAAATATTGGTTCCATCTGTCCCTGCACGACGATTTCGAACATTTATCACGGTATTTGTAGGAAGACAAAGCAGCTCTTTCTTTTCTTTTTTTTTTCAACTCTATTTCACCATAAACAACCTGCTCAATGTGAACGAGTCTTTAAAACATATTTGGCAGGTTCTAATACAAAATCTGCCTCACGTATTCATACCGAAAACGTCGTTCCAATTTTCAAAATACTGCATTCATCTAGCTGCATGCGGTCTTCACTAATTGACTGGGCGGCAAAGTGGTAATTTGCCCGGTGAGGTTCATCAATCTCGCTGTTAAGTAAGCAACCTCGGAAACGACTAACCACCCCCTCTTTTCCCTCTCCTTTCCGTCCAGAAAGACACAAAGATCGCTCTCATGAGGTCAGACAACGAGCGTCTTCACGCCTTCAAGGAACGATTTTGTAACCTAGAACCCTGCGATTGTTACCATTTAGACTAAGATAATTTGTGCCGATGGTATCTTTCAAAATTTATTACCCTCAGTAAAGAATTCATTCTCTCTGTTGCCCAACGCCTCGGTTAAATTGTTCAATCCGATTTCCGGATCGTAAAGCAAGTTACGCCATGCTCTATTTGTTATTCCTCCTTCACTGCTTTTTATGGCTCTAGAGTCATTTAAATTGCACAATAACGTTAATATTGTAATTTTAGTATTTTAAACGATCGAATAAACTCCGCCGGTTTAAAACGAAGATCGCGGTAGTGACTGTAAGAATAAAAAGTTATTTCGATTTTCATGACTCAATTTTTTTTCTCGTCAATGTATTCTTTTAGATTTCCAGCGCGGTACAACAATAAATCTAACAAGGACACCAGCACGACCTCAGCAATTGTGGAACCTCGGCGTCGACACTTCCCTTCAATTTCGACGTATAAGCCGATTGGACGGCAGGACAGGAGGCAGGACCTGTCCTCGGGCATCTTAGATCCAGTCGGCAACACTGAGAGGAGAGCGGGAAGCATCCAGCAAGGCCGAAGGACAGTTGGTCCTCCTTCCCCCAAGCGCGACGGCGCCACGCTTTCGAAGCTCGGCCCCCGTCCAAGGTTTCGAGTCGTGGGGCGAGCCCCCCGGCTCTCTTTTCCTCAAGTGTTTGTGTTCAAACATTGACTCTGTCCTCCTAGGGCAGTGTCCACTCTGCGTCCCCCGACGAGAGACGACGGCGACACGGAAAAGAAGACGTATTTTGTGCCGCGACAATCTCTCGACCCACTTGGAGCCCACATTTTCGCTCCTCTTGGCTGGGCTTGAATCGGAGTCTGTGTGCGCTTCGCGCGGCACTACACTGGCTGTTTTATGCTTTATTGGGTTTGTCGGCGAATGAGGTGTTTTCATTTGACGAGGTCTTCGCCAAGGCTCTTTCTTCGTAGATAGCTTTGAGTCAACGAAATGTCCTCGCCACATGCGAAGAAAGTAGGTCTGGGAAGTGTAGCAACTCGAAAACCCGCTATTCCCACAAAACTGAAGCAAGTCTTTTTTAACGCACCTTAAACGCAGGTGTGTCTGAAGCAGTGTATCCTATCGTATTCTCGTTCCGTTGGAGTCTTGCCTCAAGTTTGAGGTTTTAAATGTTGCCTCTTCTTGACAGTTTGATATGGAGTAAAGCTTCCTTCAAGTGAGCGTGTTCCGCACACCAGCAGACTCACCTTCCTAGGACAATGAACGGCAACATTAATATGGGTAGTTGATTTTTAGATACCATGAAAATGTGTGAGCGCACAATGCATCAAGCACAACCATTTTTCTGTGCCACCAGCAGAAACTGAATGTGTTGCATGGCTAATAGTAAAACTAATTACTAGAATTTAACCTACTTTCTAACGTTCGTCATGGTTTCGGCAATGTATGTGTGCACTACAGCCATTTATTACACTTGGTTTTGGTTTGAAAACCTAAAATACCAGTGCGTCAACCTTTTCTGAAACTATATGAACTCAACAGATGGTAAATAAAAATGGTTTAAAAAAACGTCACCAGTGAACAACGCAACAAATATGCATTGTATTATATTGTATTATATAGACATCCTTAATTACTCTTTTTTCCCGTTTTCTGCATGGGAGAGCGTAGTGGAGTTCCGCCTACGTGAGGTTGTCTAATCGTATCGGCAGTGTAACTATTCTACAGCTGCTCGAAACTCTTAATGAGCGAGCTATGTTTTATTAATATTATATTTTTCTTCATACTGAAAATCCCCGCTAAAGGGGAAACAAAAAAAAAACACACACAATGTGTGTGTGTTTTTTTTTTTTTAGTAAGATCGTGCACAGCTGGCCATTTAACTCTCATTTCAATAATTTTCTTTTCCTTTTTTTTGTTGGCGCCTTCTAGTTTAATACTGCATATGTGATGTTTGAAAGTGTAACTCCGTACTATTCCTCCGCATACTGTTATCTTCTTCAAAAGAGTCAAATTAAATCTAGGACGCATTTTTATTAATTAAGTTGGTGTAGATCAGTTAGACTGAACAACAGAACAATAGTGATCAAAACCAGATGAGTAAAAGAGTTATTCGAGATAATCTTATCAAAAGCATTGGCAAGGTGGTCATAATGGTGTGTAAAACTTGGATATCTATGTACAAAAGAGGGGACGGAGTCAGTGCTTCCAATGAGACTGTGTCGAATGCGATTCTTGTTCATTTAGTTTCGAACAAGTTAGTCCCGATTTCTGATTTGTTCTTCATTACCAGTCTGTATGCGCCTGCTGAACCGGCGACGTACATTGCTGTAGGATAGCATTCAGTCGTCTGTGTGAATTGTAACAACAGCGTGGCAACGTTAGCCTCCGTGATCCCACGTGATCTAGGTAGAACACTCACCTAAGTTCCTCAACCTCGTCGGCATGAGCCTGGACTTCAGTTTCGTACTTGGTCTTGTAGGCGGCGGCGTCGGCGTTGGCCTTTACCAGCTGCCTCTCAACCTCGAGCCTGGCTTCGGATTCTTCGTCGAGCTGCACCTTGAGGGACTCGATTTCAACCTCCAGAGTGTGCAGGGACGACTCCAGACTGGCACGTTTCTGGATAAAGACACAATAGAATCTTCTCAGTTTTTTTTTTTTTTTTTTTTTTGAGGGTGCGTTTACAACATATTTACACACAGCTTGAAGAAAATACTGCGCGTTTGCTTCCAACAGAATGCGTCGAGGGCAAGTCATAGCGACCTAGGGGCGCTGTCTAACGCATCGCCAGGTAGCATCTTCATTCAAAAATGTTATCTGCTTTAGGCCACTGAGTACTCGAATATTCATGCACAGTGCCCTACATAGATCATATTTACCGGTCAAAGCACTTTCTAAGCTTCGCTCGTCCGCTTAAGACCTACCAATTTAGTCTAGATTCTATAGTGACTGAGAGCTTCAGATGCGCAAAAGTGGTGAGTCACGTGCAGTTTATTATAGCTCCTCATCCAAAAAGATTGAGGCATTGGCCGATAAAAAAAAGTTTAACAACAAATCAAGAAGATAGAACGTGAACATCATAAGCCACGCTCTGCCTTTCATAAACTATTCGTGACTACTAGCCATGACAAAAGGCATCGCTATAGTCGCAGTTCGCGTTTGGCCGAACGCTCACTGTGACGTCTTTATCTGGATTATTTTTTCTTTCATCGACGGGAGTCAGGGCAATGTCAAAGTGTCAACTGTGACGATTAGGAATGCGATAACTCAGAGCTTCCGTTGGTATTTTTACACGTAACATCGAACTTGCGATTCGCAGCTGATGAACAGTAGTCAAAGATTACAACTCGTGACGGCACCGCGAGGAAAATTCTGGCCGTGACGTTATGAACCAAAACCATAATAGGGTGCCACCGAAACATCTGGGCGCTAATAGTAGATAACCCTCGGAGGGTTCTGCAGGGCCACGGACTCAGTATAGTGGGGCCTAACGCCCCCGAAAAACATTAGCTAAAACGCGTGTTTTTTTTTTGTTTTTTTTTGTTTTTTTTTCTGCTTGAGTTTTAGATGACAGCTGTGGCTCGCGACTTTCTCGCAAGGGAAAAGCATCTCACCCTCTCTTCGTCCTCGAGGCGGCGGCGGGTGTCCTCGAGCTGCGTGGCCAACTGTCCCTTGAGGTGGTTTACGTTGTCCAGGGACACCTTGAGTTCGTGGACCTCCTTGAGGTACTCGGCGTTTTCGGCGCTCAGCCTGGTCCTCTGCGCCGTCACTTCGATGACGGTGCGGTTCAGTTCCTCGATGCGGATGTTCAGCTCGTACACGGTGTGCTCCAGCTTCTCCACTGTCTTCTGGATGGTCAGCTGAAAACGGATGCGACACATCACGCTCAGATTGGCCGGAAAAAAACTGAATAGATACGCTGCGACCCGATGTGTTGTGTACGACCTAACAAAACCCCAAACCAGGTTGTTTGTAAGGAGCAAGCTGAACGTTTCCTTTAGGTCTCCCCACTAATCCTTCGAACCAGAGCTCGACATTCTGACCGTCCCCTCTCGTCTCCTCCTCTCCCTCACTTTCTTGCCGCATAGCTTCTGGCCGGTTCACACAGCACCGTTTCCTTACGTTGCGTCACGTTACGAAAGCTTACATTGGCTTACGTTGTCAGTCGCAGAGACATCCGTGCTTCATGTGCAGAATGACAACCAGTAGGCTTGCACGTGACATTCGAAGCAAAGATGTTGCGGTGACTTATTCGTAACGCAAAAAAAAAAATGCAAGGGGAATGCTCCTGTGTGTAAGGGCCTTTCGAATTTAGAGGACTATAATATACCTTCGAGATAATTTTGAGCGTGACAGAATGAGACACACACACACTAACACACCTGTTTAAAAATTCTATCTGCTCACGAGCAGAAACTGTTCCTCGAATTTTTGCTGTTGCTTGATGTTACATTTCTCTCGTGATGTTACATTTCTCTAGTGATCAGATTTAAATTTTACCAAGATAAAACACAAAAGCGCCTCGGTGGTGCCCTGTTTTTTGTTCAACAAAACAACGATATGATTTCCGTAACTTCATGTTCAAGTCATAAAAACGCCCATGATGACTATTTATATAGAACCATCTTTAGAATGTCATTTAAGATACACAATGAACCCCTCACCTTTTCCTTGTTCGAATTTTCCACTTGAGACAAGAGTTCGTACACTTCGGCCTGAAACTTCTGCCTTTCCTTCTCGGCCCTGTTGAAGGAAGATAAATACAATTAGAGTTATAAATCGCATAATTTTAATTAAACTTTCTGCATGCATTTCTGAAGATGGATCACGAAGAAAGTTCTAAATCATTCAGTAACTTCACTTTTGTCCAACTATATTATTTTGTATTGTATGCTTATTAGGAAAATGTATGACTTAGCAGTTCCATATTTTTTTACAAAATTTTCGAAACCAATTTGGTTTTCAAACATATGTCCTGGTATATTAAATTGAATCATGGCGGCTTTCAATCTATTTACCCGAACGGACTTCCAAAAGTAAGCTTCTCCGGCAAAGAGAGAAAACTACATGTGATGCGTGTAAATATAATTGCTAACTGACATAGTTTGGTTACTGCTCATGTGAAAATTATAGGTTTAAATTTCGTGCGCAAAGCAGCAATGTGCGTCTGCTTATTTTTATATATATTTTTGTTGTGTATGTGTCTGGAACCTATTTTATTTTGTACTTAAATATCTGACAAAAGGTAGGTAGGTGCCTTTATGTGCGCGTTGCTTAGCGGGATGACATCTGACCATATTTTTCTCGACTTATTTGTTTCTTTTTTGTTTCTGAACGCGAGAAAGCGCGTCCCCCGGCACACGCTCTTGGCATTGAAAGCGCTGTATGGCCATATTTTGTTACCGGCTTTTTCTTTGTGCTTTTTTTTTCTCAAGAGCGTGCGTTGTCAGCATCGGGTTCTACAAAGAATGTCATCACCCTAAGCAAAACGGGCATGAAGGCACCCTAACAAAAAGTTGCTCCACGAATCATAAAGTATAATTGTTTGGAGAGAAATACAATTGTCCTCTGACTCAAAGGACAGCGTCTATTATTCGATGTCCGCTACTCGCCTCGTACTGCGTTTTTCTTTTTTTCTTTAAGCTGTCTGTTACTTTAGCCACTGTAGCTATTAATCCAGGTGCGTTAGCAGTTTTATATATATATATATATATATATATATATATTTCATTAATGAATAAAAATGATTGACTGAATATATATAATGAATGACAACAACACGCTGATTGGCCTTCGGCACCAAAATAAGCCTGCGCTGCTACACACAAGATCTGATTTTTAAGCTTAAATTATTTATGGCTCTAATCATTTCCTTTTTTTTTTTCAAATTCAAGCAACGTTGTGGATTCTCTAGGAAAGTACATCATTGGGTATTTTTTAAACCGGCTCTCGCTCCTGGCTGAGGATTACCTCCATGTGTCGTGTCCAAACACGCCAAAATAAGAAACTGAGCGACTTTAGAAAAATGCTCTGAATCAAACACAGATATCACAGATGTTTGTGTTTTTTTTTTTTCCTGCGGTCATCTATAACTGTTCAGCAAACACGTTCAGTTTTTACTTTTTCATTTCATCTTAGAGCATCAGGTTATAATTTGATTCGCCGTAGAAGGTACTTGGAAACTCGTGTCTCGCCGAAGTTGGTAACCCTGATTTCCTTCGTGGGTATTACCAATTTCCGATGGCCGAAAATTCAATCAGCGCTGCTAGTTGAGAAAGCAACTTCATTACAACCGCGCACGCATCGATGGTAGAGCTTGTTCACGAACGTTTCCGTTCGTTCCCAAACACGAAAATGTTGTAATCGTCTGAGTCGTAATCGTTTTAGTTTTAGCAATCGTTGTAGTGAGTCTCGTCGTCTGTGAGCAACGCCGGACGCTGGCGCTTGACGTTCGAATCCTTCCGAACAGTGAGCAGAGACCAAGGAGGTAGCTAGCATGGCGTCTACCCACTAACCATTCCTCCTCTCCCTCGGTTTCTTCCCGCATGCAGCACCTCCCAGTTAGGAAAGCCTTAGTGCTGAATTAAAGTTCAGCACTGAGGCTTTCTTACCTTGGACGTGATGCCGTATAGCTAGGTGGTGTTTGTTTGTGCAGTCGCTGGAAACGAAGCGGGCACTCACTTGCTCTTGAGCTTGGTCATGCCATCGAGCTGCTCCTGGAACTCGGCGATGGCCTCCTGGTGCTTCTTGCGCAGGTGGTGCGCCGTCTCCTCGCTCTCGAGGTGAACGTCCTCGAGCAGCTTGCGCAGCTTGGACAGCTCCGTGTCCCGCTTCTTGTTCATCTCGACCACGGTCTCCGAAGAGCCCTCGGCCTCCTCCAGCCGGTCGCTCAGCTGCATCAGCTGCACCGTCAGGTCCGACTTCTCGCGCTCGATCTGCAACACACAAAGGGGCCGACGCCATCAGACTTCCCGATTAACCCGAAGCATTCGGCACCGAACGTGGTCCCTGCACCAAAGGGGAAACAAAGCGTGAAGAGAAGAGATCTGTCAAGAGTCTGAGTTTCAGAGCTTGCCCATTGTTGTGCGTGTCTGTGTTTTTTTTTTTCTTTATTTCAACCCCCAAGTCTTTTCTCTAAATATCTATGAAGTAAATATCGACCACCTCTCGCGCCTTTACCGGTTGCGTCAATCGGATCAAGCTGCCTTGATTTGTTTTTTACTTCTTTTGATACATTCATTAAAATTGAACTGAGAAATGTCCCTCTCAGACATTTTCGTTAGAAAACAAAAAAAAAAAGCTAGCACACACAGTGACTACGTTTTTCTTTTTTCTTTTTTTTTTCTCAAAGCGCCAGGGACTTTGACTGTTCCGCGAAAGGCCAGTCTTAAAATGCAAACAAAGCTTAGCTCCAAAATTAAATTTTTACAGCACGAAGTGGCGATTTTATCTTGGCAGAGCGTAACTAGAACTAATCTACACTATCTTAAGGGTAATCGTAACAGATAATTTTTTTCGAGCAAACAGGCTGAAGACAACTGCAATCGCACACGTCAGAGCAAACAAGCTCTTTAATTTTATCACTGCAAACGCTTCACAAAACGGGAAAAAAGCAAAACATTTCGAAACAATATAAGATCAACAACATATTATATGCTCAAATGTTTTAAAAAATATGTGTAAGCACGTTTTCTCCTTCCCAATCGGCAAGAGTTTTAATGGAGTCGCTTCGTGATTTCAGGATTTGTTCAGTCAGAAAAGATAATTCGGATTGACAACTTCAAGCGTTTATGAAACTGTTTCTGATTTTATTCCTTTTTTTCTTTAAACAGCATATTTCATCATAAAGAAAGGCCATTTTTTTCAGTGTTTGCGACCCTTTATAATTTTGTTGCCGATGCTATGCGTGCTTTCAACTTTTAACTTATTGTCGACTATGTTAACGTCAACTAAAAAAAGCAGTTTATAAGAAACAAGGTCATCGGTGCCTTTTATATTGTAAAATGATTAGGCCTAATTTTTCTGGAAAGCTAAATCGTAGCTTTGTGGGGCACAAAAAGATTTTTGACTTTAAAACGCCTCGTGAGTGCACACTCGGAACGTGTCTCGTGGCGGTATCATTCGAATCAATTTTTCTAGGTAACTGCGAAACGTTTCTTGCCAAACATTTTATCGGGAAAAAAACACGTTCGCTTACTAAAAATTTACTCTTCGTACCCTGAGAATCGCCCAAAAGTGGCTTCGAGACTCTCACCCAATCGCTGGCTCAGAATCGGGCCTAGCAACGTGACGTTGCAAGGTGGGCGGGGTAAGCGTAAGCCAAGCGCCACACGTATCACATAGAACACACGCGCGCCCCTAATCCCACCCTTCAACGTCAATGAGCACTTCCTAATCCTGACCAATTCATCGGAGAGCAACTTTCGATTGAGCGATGACGCACTACTCGTTACCCGTTAACGTCATTTTTTTTTTTTTTTTTTGGGGGGGGGGGGGGGGGGTGTTAGGGTTTACAGGAGGTGCTGGTATAGGAACGCAACGCGAAAAACAGCCCAAAGCACAACACGAAAGTTGATCGGATCTGTATTGCGAATTAGGCCATATAATGTCAGTTGCAGCATCTGAATGAAAGGCATTGTTGCTGCACATGTTACGCCTACATACACACACACGGCGCTCGCTCGCTTTCTTTTCGCAATAATTCTCCTCCTTTTTTTTGTGTGTGTGTAAATTTAGCCTCCGGCGGCTCGCTCCTTCTCTTCCATCTAGAATAAATAAAGACGCGCCGAGAACGAGATGAGAAAAGAATCCCCGAACGCTGCATGCAGCTCGCCGCCCAAAAAGGCGAGCGGAACCTTCCAAATGCGGCTCTTGGAGTATGCAGCCAGGATGCCAGGTTCGGCATCCCACCAAGAAAAAACAAAGTGGTGAGAACGAGGAAGAAATAAATAAATAGACATGATGCAGACAAAGTAAGAGAGCCAGTTTAAAAGAAAAAAAAAATCAAGCTGGGAAAGAAAAGACCAGAAGGAATAGAGTGGAAGAAAAGAGAGAGAGAGCGAGATTGCGAGCCGTTTCTGTTGAGTCTGGGTACGTAGCGCGCTTTTCTATTTTCTCCGCTTTGCTGGGCCGCGAGCTCGGTACCCCCCTCGATTCTGGCCCGACTTCAGAGCGTGACGTCGGCCAGGAACGTGGCTAAGGGATGAGGCACTGAAACAGTGAGGGTGGAGCCGGTGTCGGAGGAGGAAAGGGCAGCGGAAGTGGGGAGCGAAACGTTTCCCTTGTAGTACTCACCCTTTGCCTGAGCTCCCGTTCGGACTCGAGGTCCTCCTGGAGAAGGCGCAGCTTGTCCTGGGAAGAAAGAAGATGGAACAACGACAAAAACACGTTAAACGAGACCAACTTGACAACAAAAGTTCGCTTTCCTGAGAACCTCCCCAGAAGTAATCTACTAGGCCTTATATGTTCGTAATTAGCATGAATGTAAGCCTCTAGGCCGTGCTTATCTCTACTATCAACCCTCTGTCACGAATCAATCGCAATGTCTAACGAGGGCGCAAAAGCGCAGAGGGAGCAGCCATTGTCTCAAACCTCGCCCTTCTGTAGCCCGCTGTTTTCGTCGACAACGTTCTTTGGTACGAGTCCCATTTTCTCTTGTTCACGTTCATGGTTATTGCTGTAGTAAAATCAGCAAAGTGTTACGCCAAGTCTTCTGACGAGGTACAACCGGTCCTTCATTTTTACCTTCTTTTTTTTTCAATTCGCGATTCTTTCGAGGTTTTAATCTGTACGGCGATATTTAAAAAAAAAGGAAAACAGTTTGCAATACAGAACGCCTAATATCTCCTTTTTTTTTATTCTACAGACAGTGTAGTAGCACAAGTAATTTATGTGTCGCCCCAGAAAAAGTTGACACCTTCAGCTGGTATTCTAGTGCACTGCACAACCCCGATATAAATCGACGACAGTGTACTATAAAAAAGTGACAAAGAAACCACGCCGCTCTAGAGAGAAGTTAAATATCACGCCAGTTTAAAACACGTCGTAATATTTATTTACATTTTCTTTCTTTTTTTTTTGTGTGTGTGTGTGTTTGTTGACATGGCAAAATCAAGTCACCGCGCTAATGCGAGGCGCGGTCACACGGTAGCACCAGTGACACGAACTTCTCTTCCAGGGCGTGGCGTGGTTCCAAGCTCCAGATGGCTTCCGCGAAGTGCTTCTGACTGTTATTTTTTTGCCTACGGAGCGTTCCACTTACTATCCGCTCATTAGTCTTCCCTGTCTGAAAAAGCAAGTGGTTGGTTTTAGAAAAAGTTTCAAACTTGTTCGGCTGCGTCTTAAACGGCGCCTTTAAACCTAAGCGGTCGATGGATGAAAACCTTGTAAGAAACGCGTAGATGTAAAGTCAGTGTGCAAAGAGGATGGCGGACTTTTGCCTTGCGTGTTTTGTGGGCAGAAGACTTTAAAAATATATTTCCAAACGGGTGGCGGCATTAACGAATCCTTCCCGCAGAGAAAAGGTGAGCTTCTCCTCTACACTGACCGCTTTGTGGTAAAGCCAGCTTCTGGAGTTACTTAATTTAAGACGATCAGCATTGACGACGTCCTTGAAGCCATCACGCTAGGGGTTACACTAATTTACTGGTAGGAAGTCAGTTAGCACAATACAAAGCAAAGACCGGACTAATTTTGTACATTTATTTAAGGATTTGTTGTTGTTGTTTTTTCTTATTAAAAAAGAAAAACTTTCGTGTGTAATGTTAAAATTTTGCTGACGATTCGCGAACATGCTCATTATGTCTCTGCGCTCAATCTCTTGGCAAAATGACGGCAGCCATTCTGAAACTTTCTACGAGATATTATTTTTCAGGAGGGTTTCACCTGTCAACTTCAGTTACCTTTGTGATTTGGATGCGTTGGTGTACTGCAGCACGTCTCGAAATAGGCTGTTATCACACCGGTATGCCACGAGAATCAGGATCCGGAACGGTGGAGAACGATTTAGCTCCCTCGCTTCTTCAGTGATTTTTAAAACTATGCATTTTACTTTAAAAAAAACAGCAAATGTAATGAAAACTAGTGTCATTTATCTTATAGTGCCTAACTTGATTGTCGTTGCAATTTTTTCTTTTTTTTTTTCTTTCAGCTTGGACAGAACTCCATTTATGTCCAAGTCGATTAAGCCCAACAGGCCAAGAAAAATCGGTCTAAGCCAACAATGCTCCGAATGTGATGACCTAAAGTAAAAATGCGCAACTATTAGGCTTTCAAAAATATGTCTACGTGCTAATATTGTAGTGTTACTGTTTACATGATTTCCAACCTGATAATCAACATACGCTTTGAACACTTTGAATATGAACGCTGTAAGACGAAATCCGAGAGAATTATTTGTGATCTAAACGTCACACAGCTTCTAGAAGTTAATCGCACCATTAGCGATTCCGTCAAATAATTGTTCAGCCTTTTTTTCGTGCTCAGCTTTGAACCTTGAGGGTCTACTCACTTTTCAGGCGCTCACTACAGGACCGCCATAAGCCCCTCCAAAGATCGAAGTTTTCATGACTCAGTTTTTACCGTGTCCGCTCCAGGCGTTAGTAACTAGAAGAGGCTTCAGAAACGTCGGAAGTGGCCAGTTTTAAATGCGTTTTTTGTATTGTAATGAATCTCTGTATGTTTGAGTCCTAACTTCGATGTATACTCTAAAAAACGTCTGTGCGTCTACTTTCACGCACAACACTCGGAGAGCCAATCAACTCAACTTACGGAGGCAGCTCAGCGAATGAAGATGCCGCAACATATGCTTAGACCAAAAAACGCAGTCTGGATTGTGACATTAAGCAATGCAAAAAGTCACGCTTGCATAGTTTAATGTCACAACCCAGACTGCGTTTTTTTGTCTTAACATATGTTTCGGCATCGTCATTCTCTGAGCTGCCTCCGTAAGTTAAGTTGATTGGCTCTCCGAGTGTTGTGCGTGAAAGTATACGCACAGACTTTTTTAGAGTGTATATAAGAATTAACGCAGGATTGATATGATTAACGTAATTATGCAGACTCAGTGACAACTGTGACACATATGAAGGCTGTTGGATCCTTCAATTATTTAAACAGCATCGTTGTCCTTTAATTGGCACTACACAATATCGTAGTTTTATTTGAGTAATTATTGTTTCCGGGTCAACATCTTTCATCTGGCGTATGCTTGCAGTGTATGGTTTAGTTGATGCGTACGTTTGGTGTAATGGCCCGTCCACACTCTTGAGTTAGATTAGGACAGAGTTCTTGCGATTTCTTACGGCAAAAGAACACCATGGCACGCTTCCGCCATCTATGTGGTGACCTTGGAACTGCATTTCACTAGAGCGAAAGTTTGATGGTATTTAAGAGATCAAATATACATACTATTTAAAAGAAAGGATCGTTTATAATGCTATCAAACGTTTTTCAAGCCAAAAAAAAAAATGATGCTCAAAAAAAAAAAAAAAGCAAGTACGTATACAAAATTGCCAAGTATTCTACGACTACCTGACAGATGGCGCCGGTGTGTTCTCTTGTCGTAAGAGATTAAGAGGTTTTAAGGAACACGGTCATAGGCACCACTTTCCGGGTTCTCCCGTACTCAGCGCCTATGCACACAATCGTCAGCAGTCGCAATTTTGTAACCATCTTTGACGCTACTAAAACTACACAAACATTGCTGTGTTTGAGGCCTAAAAGTAAAAAAAAAAAAAAAGAAAACGTAACACCGTCTAAATCCAGGATAAACGTGCTAACTCGAGAAAGAGAACTAACGCCGATCAAGCTGTCCTTTTGTATGCTCGCCAGTTGTTGTTTGTTTGTTTTTTCGCTTTTTCCTTTCGCGTCGCGATCGGTGTATCAAAAGGAATCAGTAAGGAAAGGGTAGGGATAGGGTAGGACAAATCAAAGACCCCCTTCGGGAACAGAGTTGGCAACCCCCCCCCCCCCCCCCCCCCCCCCCGGGACCAGCATTGCGAAGGCGCGCCATGGCGCCCCGAGGCGGTCTCCGTCCCCACGCTCTGTTTCCAAGTGGCAGCGGGGCGGCACTGTAGGCTCGCGAAGGCGAGGAGACCTGCTGACGTTTATAAATACACGGGCTTCATGGGCTCTGAACCGCTCTCCAAATTTAGCTGGGCAAGCGGCCATCCCCGCTTCCTCCACGCGCCGAGTCGCTGAGCTCACGCCCGATCGCTTGCCGCCGCTCTCTGCCAGGGACGTGTGGAAACTCTATCGGGTTCTCTGAACGCTCTTCCTTTTGGCGTAGATCGTTCGATCCTCGCTAGACGCGACGGAGCCGCCAATAGCTCGTCGATTTCTCTGTCTCGTTCCAACCCTTCCTTCTGACTATGCCGGTCTAACGGGCTTCGAGGAGAATTTTGAGCCGCATCTACAGGCATATTGAAAGGACGGAGTTTACTTAGCTATCTATTCCAAAGCGAAGGTTTACGTGAGTGGCAACAGATTAAACTGAAGTAGGAAAAAAACAAACCGGGGACAACCGAACTGACCAAGACATCGTTCTTTTTTTGTTTCTTTAAAACTGTCTTTAGCCGTACAGTTGTTTCTTTTTTTCTTTCCTGTTTTTATTTTGATCAAATTGTGTTAGCGGCATGTTATCATTTATAAGGCGGCACCAGTAATTTTTCTTGAATGTGCATGAACTTCACACGAGGTCTGTTAGAAGCACATACACTTCATCGAAAAACTTCTGGCACTTTTCTAAATACCATGTATGTGTTCTCGTTAAGAAAACAAAAATAAAAAATGCATCCACAGTTTGTTTCTAAGCCTAATCAAGCGGCCCTTTCGGTAGTACTACGTAATTATCTTTGAATTAGGCCTATTATCAAGTGGTGTAAGATGGAGCAGACACCTCTTAGCGGCTGAAGTTATCTGTAAATAACAGGACATGTTATTTACTGATAAGCTGTACGAGTTGAAAGGCGAGCTGATAACTCTCTCAAAGCCTAGTTAAATACTTCAGTGTTTTTGACGCTTCATACCAACTAATTTTCTATGCGCAAAGAATCGGTTATTTTTGCATAAACTAAGTAGGCTTTTGGGGTCCATGTTTCGTCTTGATAGACACCCCTGTCCAAAGATAAATGTCTTGTTCTACTAGATACAAAAAAACGCCTATTTTGCGTGCATTTTAAATGCTTTGACAGGGTATTTTTATATTCACTTAATTAATTCACTTGGTGCTGACATAAAATTTTGAATTCGTCAGAACTATTGTTACTGTGGTATTGTTTTAAATATATGTACTACTTCAGGCAATTGAACCTAGAAACTTCTTGAAATGCCGTGTCTAAGCCCTGTCAACTGGGCATTGATAACATCTCTCTGGTTTCTTGCTACAACCATCCGGGCTCCCCAAAGTCCTATAATACGTAGAGCATTCCAACACTGCGTCTTCATCTTGTGCGGCGATAGTTGCACGCGAAAAACTTTTATTTTATCCTCTGACGCCTTCACACAAATATGAGTATGATACAGCGTGATGGAAGCTTAGAGCGCTTGTTGTAAGATTCAGCGAAGTGACCAACGTGCGCCCTTCTGTGGAAGCTCAAGATGGCCACCTTAGCTGATCAAGGACTAGAAAGGTCAGGGACTTTCCCGAATAGTTTACGTTCAATGGGAGCGTAGAGGTCAACAAAGAAAAGGTCTGTGAGACTGCTTTCAAGATGGCGATGGCGTCGATTATCCCACTTTGGTGGACAACGCCGGAGGTGCTTGCCCCAGTTGTCTGGAAATAGTCCCCAGGTGATGGAGTTTTCCAGAATTAAATTTAGCCGCTCAAGGTTGGATGCCTGTGCACGCACGCCGCTGCTGCCGCGCGTATGGGCTTTGTCGACGCCCTCCCGTTATCTGGTTACCGCGTACACCATTGGTGCTTCGTTCGCAGGATCGAGAGGAGCGGAAATCTTGCGACATTTTCTGAATCGATGGGCTCGTTGCCCAGGGTCCTTCAAAGTCTGCTCATCAAGTTCGTATTCTTCTTTTGTTACTGAGTCGACATCTTGAAACTTATCTCTTCGTGAAAAGTGCAGCTGTCCCGTATCCTTGGGTACGTTCGCTCCGTTATTACAAATGTAATTAAAACAAGGAAATTCGAGGTTGTGGCCCTTCTTTGTCTATGTGAGCAACATGCGAGGGCGAAATTCTTATCATTGGCGGCCGGAATTTAGGAGGGTATGGTGTCGAGCTTATAACTCTCCCAGGGAAACCCAATTGAGCTGCTCGACTTATCGAAAAAACGGGGAGGCGTGATACGCTACTCAATCAATGTTTGGTGTGATCGCATAATTGCGTTCGTGCTGTCGGCCAGGTTTACTACGAAGAATTTCAAATGATCCCACTGCGTCTCTCGTGTTTCGTTTCATTTCTTTGTAGCACCAGAAAAACAAAACGCTTTAATAAAGCTGGTAAGGACTGCAGTGTTTCGTAATTTCAAGTATGCATTGCCCAGAAAAAGTCTTTTTCGAAACTTTTCGGCGCTTTTTTACTGAGCTGGCTCCGAGCAAGTCTGCCACCCTCTATAGAACCATAAAACTTAACGACTTAAAAAAGTTGATTTCAAGAAGGGAAAGTATACAGAAGATATGGTTAGGGAACATCATAATCTAAACCCCGAGACACGTTTGCCAAACCGTTCGCTAAAGCTGCACTTGAAACGAGAACGTTTAGAGTCACACCCCTCGGTGTGACTATCAGATAACCTTTTAAAAATAATGACAAGGTCAGCATTTTTTATGTTGATTAACTCGAGAACCAAATGTGTTCAGCACTCTCAGAGTAGTTCGCCGTATTCTTTAATGTTTTTGCCGTGTTACTGTTTAAATGTCCGTCACTAAAGTGGCATGCTTTTGATAGAAAAAAAAAACGGATTTTAGCAAATAGAACTGAACAAATGCTGAAAACAAATTCTGACCTGGCCTTTCAATCTTTGAAGGCCAAATACCTAAGGTCGTCTTGGTTATGTATTTAAAACAAATGCACACGACCATAAAAAGATGTTTGTCCTCTGTTCCTACCACAAATTTGCATCTTTCCATAGTCCCATTTCTTTTCTGTACAAGAAACACCCGTATTGAAACCAATATTTCGGTGTGTTGGTGCCATTAAACAAAAGAATGAAGCTCAAGATTAGTGCTGGTAACCTTGAAAAGTACCTAAGAAACACGCGAAACCCTTCCAAGGGAAATCTGACGCCATGACCAAATCAGGCGACGCTTTCGCAGACCCTCAGTGGGACGCCATCTTGGATTCCTCTAGCCAGACGCAGCAGCTTTAGAGAATTTCTCAGAGCACCGCATACATCTACTGTAACATAACTGCAGAAGAATTATTCACTTTTTTTATAAAGAGCCGTTGGCATGTCAAAAATTAATTTTGTAAACGCTAAACCTCTCAGTCACATTTAGCCTTCGGGAGGAAACCTTGGCCGTACAATTTCGCGTTCCCGAAACATTTAGTTCAATTAAAGACCAGTTGTCGCAGAGATATTTCTAAACATACTCGTGCGTCGACTGGCATTAGATGAGCTGCAGACTGTATGCCTTTAAGGCTTCATTAAACTAAATGGTGCTTTTGTAGGCAAAGTCAAACGTTCTGAATGTTCACTATTCCTGGTCTTTGGTCTCCAAAAATAATAATTTAAGATAATTCTGGATCAGGGATTCAAGGTAAGAACAATATTGTACCAAGGATCTATGCTGCCTTCATTTTTTTTTTAAATAAATACTGACTTTAAAAAAATGTATTAATGCAAATTCGTTCGTTTTGATGAATGCACACTGGACAAGCTATCCTACCGTAGATGCCACGTCCAAACGGGTGTCCTTAGCGGCTTCTAACTGTTCCAAAGAATGAGCCGGCCAGTTCGTCCATTGAGAGGAGGTCATGTAACTCTCAAGGTGTGAACTATAGGCTCACTCTGAGGATTCTTAAGAACCTTGGTGACTACTAGGGTTAACGGTTTTTTTTTTTTTTTTTTTTTTTTACAATTGACACTGAGGGCATCGCCACGGAGATGATTTGACATTGGGGGGAGAACTAGTTGAAGAAAGCGCATCGAAGCGGTACTGTTGGCACTTCACATGCCGGTGGGAGCCGGGTAGGCAGGCTGGTCTCCTTGCACCATTTCGCCTATTCCAACGGTCTCACAGGCATAAAGCACGCACAGTAACACTTCGAGACGCTTTCCTCGCCCAAACATATTGCTAAACAGAGATAGCAAATGCCTCATGTACGGCAAGTCGTTCGAACGCGTTTGAACTTCAAGAGCACCGCTGGTACCTATTTCGTTGTTATTTCCTATGTTTCGAGATCTGCGTGTCGCTCGAGAATGCACCAAAGCCCGTGTCCTCCAACGGACATCACAAGGCTTAGTGGCACTCCGAGGACAATTGGAGGTAAGAACAGCAGCGGCGCCATGAGCCAGCGCGGCAGAACCGACTTGTGCCTACCTCAAGCCTGGTGAGCGCACCGAGGTCGGTTCCATACTCGATGGAAATATCTCCAGCGCCGCCGGAGCTCTTGTACATGTACTTGCTGCTTCGTGCAGACATGGTTGCGCTCTTCGATGCAGCCACGGGACGTCGGAGCGAAAACGTGAGTCGAAGTGTGGGGGAAGAAGGCTGGAGACCGCGCACCGGGGAACCGGAACCTCACACACCACACAAGTGAGCGGCAAGAGCCCTCGATGTCGAAGTGAGCAGACCGCGGGATCGCCACTTGAAGGTCCTTCCCGAGAACTTGTAGGCACCGCGTGAGGGCGCTCGGCTCGTTTCAACCAACAAGGTGCTCGTCCTGGGGCCCCGCTTGCTTTTTGGTTGCTCGGGACGCCCGGGGGGCGGCGCCGGCCGCCCCGTTTTGGGACTCCGCGCTCCGAGCTCGGGTTTCTTAGAGCGGAGCCCTTTTTGGGAAGCGCGCGCCGTTGCCCCACTGCGAGCTGGTGAGCCTCGGGCTGGGCCCCCGACTCGCGGGCTTCGCGAGCCTCGGCTCGCATTGGCTCGTTCGTTCCGATGGTCCGGACTTCAATGCGACACGTCATCGTGGGCACCCGTGAAGGTCGCGCCGTTTGAACGGGCCGCAGTCCTGAACGGTCTCCGTGGCTACGCCCCCATGCGCTGCCCGGACCTGCTTCGGGCGTTCGCACTCCTCGCTCGTTTCGTTTTTGGCCGGTGGTCTCGGTTATTGGTTTACTGCGAGGTGCACGCGTTTGTGTGACTTGCGAAGACCCCATTCGGGTCACGTTTAACGGAGCGTGCTTTAATTGGAACGAGGACTGGCGTGTTATTCTTTTGCAATCTAGTGGCCGTGGGCCGGCACCGCCCACTCGCGCGTCTGTTTATTACAGGGGGACGTTTACAATACGAGGGCAGTTCTTTATTTTTTTTTAATCTTTATTCCGTTTTTTTGTAGATTTGAATGACTTGTTTATTTTGGCAGATCATAGTATGGGGGGGGAAGGGGGGGGGGTGCTCGAAGAGCGTTCGATGCCTCCAGAGCCACAGTCAGTTCAGTGTAGGCGAGTTGGAGGTTGATTCGCTACGTGAATGAAAACGACTGACGAGCAGTCTTGCAAAGCAGCGCATCCATCAAACGCCCGAAAGCGCTCACACGTGGCGCGCTGATGGTGCGGCGCGATGTCGCTGACGATGAAAGTCGATTCATCCTCGACGCGACACCCGTGGACAAACGAGGGTCGGCTCGAGGTTCGGCGCTCTGATGTCGGGCGCTCGCGAAGCCGACACAGCTCAATAGGACGCATCTGATAGGTGACACCTTATGTCCACACTGGAGTGTAACGACACACCTGGCCTGTTCGAGACGGTTTTGGGATCCGCCATTTTGGAATCACCTTTCCTGGGAGCGTTTAGGAATGCGACCGGCAAAACTTGAGCCGCTCCGCTCGAAAACGTTAGCTTCCCAGAGGTCCCTTCCCCCTTTCGCTCTCACCTAGTCTCGCTCTCACTCGCTCTCCTCCCCCATTTCCTTCGGGTGCTTCAACCGTTCTGATTTGTGGATCTTTTAAAAATAGCCTCGAGCGTTCCTTCCTTTTTGTCTTTCTTTCTTCTTGTTGTTTCCGCCGTCGCTTCTTCGCCCGCGGCAACTTGTCTGTAGCTCGGGCTTCCAGGCCCGTCCTGTGTCGCGTCTTTTTTTATTTGTCTTGAGGCGCACAAGTTGCAGTTTTCCGGTCTGGTCCTTGCCTCGATAAGCCTCCACGTCTTTCGCTAGCCAGCGCTGGGCTCAATGCACGTCATTCCGGTCACAGTGATTGTGGAATTTGCGTCACGATCACCAGACACTGGGATATCGAAAACGCAATATTTCCACACAGATGTGGCAAATATGCCCTTGGCGAGAAATAGAGGTGCAACGGAAGGTTGGATATTCATCCTCCTAACCCCGCCGACCTTTGTTTAACGGAGTAACACACAAAACCCCGAACGAGGTTGTGTAAACGAAGCCGAAATGAAAGCTTCAGGCTAACATTTAAGAAGCGGTGCCCTCTACCCCTTTTCTCATGTCATTTAAGGGCTGTTGAGTTTTCCTGTCATATGTCTGTTGCTACAGAAATAGACGCGGTAACGCTTGCTGGCCAGGTGGCGAAAAACGTACAGCTAGAGTCAACATTACTCACATGCCCAATAAAACCAGTTTCTGGACGACCAGATACATTTTCTGCAGTGCCACCCACCCACAAACATGATCATTGGTGGCTGGTGACGCTCAAGAGTATACGAAAGCTGTTAACAAGATGCTCTCGGCCTAGCTAGCTGCAGGCAGGTTTTTTTTTATTTTTTAAGATGTTTTTGTGGTAGGACTAAGTTATAAAAGAAACAAGATATACGTGTTTTTTTATTCCTTCACCTTATGCATCAACCCACGTGAAGCTGCGCTAGGGCCCAAGGTATTTCGAGTTCCAGGTGATGTTGCAGCAGAGCTCTCGCATATCCTTCGCAAACTCCAAACGCCAAGCGAAGGAGCACCTCTTCAAAATCGGCGCTTTTGTGTGCGTGTTCTTTCCCTCGGCACCACATGCCGGGCTATACTTCGTTTCAGTATAACTTGGCAAACCGTCGAACCTACGGCCTATGGAAGCGAGGCACGTGACAAACTCACCACCGGAGTGCCGCGCCTCACTCCGACGTCCCTGATTGGCTCGGAGCCTATGCGCAGCTTTTGCCGTTTTTTATGTCAATCCGAAACAGAGGATAGTTTATGCTCGCTGCGTCTGGTTTTGCGTGGGATGCTCGCAGACGATGCCACCTCCTCCCCGGGTTCTGAAGTGTTCTTTTGGGACCCGTTGACGTCATGCGCTTGCGAGCGCTGCCCTTTCCGAATACCCGTCGGGCCCAAAATGCGCTTTCTGTCGGGCATTCACTGCTTCTTCACCTCGTCTCTCCGTCGCAGCTGCTGCCTCGTTTCCCTCCTTTTACCTGCCTTCTTGAAATTGCACTATGGTCTCCCTGCTTTGGTGTCGGTTCGTGCTCTTTCGGGTTTTAGACTAAGCTTCGAACGATGCATGTTCTCTCGCCAATGCTTTCTTGATTTTTTCCTGGTAGCCCATGGTTATTCTAACATCCCGCGGGCGCATTTCAAGACACCAGAGCTTTTCTTTTTTTTTGGAAAGTGTGAGCACTGTATTCGCGGTACTAAGTCTCCACGCTGTTCCGCCCTATGTTCGAGCTTCTCATTTTGTATCAGCGCCGCGCGCGTCCGCATCGTTTCGGTTGGACCATTTGATGTGGCGTGAGTTTGGCCCGCTTTGTACTCCCTGTATGTTCTACCCTTTACTGTATTGTGCCATCAACGTGTGCTGGTATTCATTTGGGTTTTGAATATGTTCAAAGCTTTGAACGAGATATCTCTTCTAGGAATCTCTTTTCTTTTTTTCTCTTTTTTCCCCTGTGACAACTCGCAAAAAAAAAAAAAAAAAATGTCGCTACTCCAAAGGCGTCCATTTTTGTCCATTTATACGAACGTGTCTCAAAAATCATTTCAGTGTGTGTCTTGTATTCTCGCTATATTCGCGTATTATATTTTGAAGGAAACTCTGAGAAGGTGTTGTGCTCTCCCGTTTTTCGTCCCAATTCTCAAGGTGTTTTGTTTGTTTTGTTTTGTTTTCACTGCCAAACTTTTTTGCTTTGAAAACTGCGCATGTGCACTATTTATCCTGTTTTATTTATAAGAGAAAGTCACCACAAGGCGTAAAAGAAAAGAATTTTTTTTTTTAATTTTTGGATTATTAATTTTACTTTTCAGAACCACATACGACGTGTGTACTACAAAAATGCATGATGTTACTCGCGAGCCTCTGACATATTGGCAGTCTTCCTCAACCTGAGCTTCTCGTAGTTTAACGCCATTGTTTGATAGTATGCGAACTGAATCTGCACGCTCCTGTTGACCTTAGAAAAAGCGTCATAGTGTCTAGTAGACTTGTTCAGCAAATACTCCCATAAAACTGCGTTTTACGCACGTGGCATAGCGCGTACGATCTGTATTCTTATTTCAGTCGTTTCTGCGCTCATCATTTATATTGAAGGTTCGTGTTCTTTTTTTTCTTTTTTTTTTTTTCTTGCGCTTGAAACAAGCTTTTGGTTTGCGAAATCTCCTGTCAGCTTCGGAATGTCTTCAACGTTAGAGTGAACAATAACAAAAAAAAACTGAAAAACCTAAATGGGAAGGTCCCTTTTTTTTCTCTTTTTTTCTTGTCTGGTCGATTTTATTTGTTGCAAACATGAGAGTCGGACCAGTTTGTTCACGATTGAAGACGCCTTGTTCTCGTCACTTCGTAGTCCCAGTTCCTTTAATTGTTTTGCGTTGTTTTTGTTCTTCTTTCCGTGTCTTTGCGTCTTTGAGATTCGGCCGGACACGCGCACGGTCCAGAATTCCACATTATTTAGAGTAATTTTTTTCTCTGTTTTTTTATACTCTCTCAAGTATTCGGCTAGGTGTATTCAAATCCCATTTTAAATTATTCCAGTTCCAAGTGAAGAGGACGCGAAACAAGTTTCGTAATGCAGAAGAAACACGATTTGTTCGATGTCAATGTGGAAAATTTGCAAATTAAAAAAAAAAAATCAAGAACTTTTTTTTTTTTTTTTGCGTGCTTGTGTGCAGCTGTATTTTGGGATCCGTGAATCAGTGTTGACTGTTTTCGTCTTGCTGGGTATTGTGAAAGCTACGTTCTCATTGTACTCTCTCTCTCTCTCTCTCTCGCACGTTGTGTGACTCAATATCAAAGTCACAGGCGTGAGAGGCTGTGGCTCCTCGATGTGCAATGTTTTGAGCCTCCCCCTCCTCCTCTGCGCCCTCCGCGATGCTGCATAAATTGCCGCAGTCAAACTGCTCATACATGACCCCAAAAGATGCCGTGTTTGCTGCAGACTTGAGAACAGGACTATCTTCGGACACTCCTGAAGCATCTTGGAACCGTGCCTGCTTCATCTGCACATGTCTGCGGACTGTTGTTTTTGTTTGACCAAAGTGACCGTCATACATGATGTTTTTGTATGATGTAGTGGCAGTGTGATGAGTACGTGACTCCGGGTTACTTTCCTAATCATCATATGATTGCGAAGTTGCTGTTGGAAACATTTATCGTTAAACTAGCCTGCCTCGCTTCCGTGCAATCAATCTTCGGATGGCGAGTTTTAACGAAAAAACAATATTTCATATTTCGGCACATTTGAACTTTTCAAAGTTTCTTGGGTCTGGGTCATATCACACTCCTAATTATGGTTCTTTCTTTTTCAAGGTAAAAAAAAAAAAAGTTTAACTGAATCCTGACGTCATGTGACGTCGGTGTTCAGTTATGAAAATGAAAATAGTAGTGTCGCAATTTTTTATGACCTCAATTATTTTCTTCTTTTCTTTTGTTATTATTCAACAGAGTCTAACTGCAGGTGTCAACTTTAAGCCACGATGGCCTGTCGGACTGCCTGTGCCACAATAAAATTAGAGCGGTTCATGG